GTTTTCAGAGTTACAGTGACCACTAACAGCGACTACTTACCACGTATCCGATGTGAACAGGTAGATGAAGCTTTGTTTGGGCTGATGACTTGTAAAAGTTGAGGAGAGCTTGCGATATGCTGCTATCTGTTTGCCGTCCTGGACGAAAGTGGACAAACTGAACACAACTCTCCCTTATACACCTCCGATGTGATGTGACATCACATCGTGTACCATGACGACGGAACTGTATATGCTAATGAGAGAGTGTTTTTGATATATTTGAAAGTAAACAATATTGTGACCTGGCTTAACTTGGTTAGCTGCATAGAAAAATAATACGATCTTCCAAAATCAAATACATGGAATCATCTTAATCCATTACCAATAAATATATGTGTTGTAACAGTCTGGTAAATACTTGAGTACTTTTGAAACTTTTTGTAGTAGTCATAATATGTGACATAGTCTGACAAAACCTTACCAACATTGTTCATCAGCTGTTTTAATATTTATTGCACTGCTAAAATGACATGTTTAGAGTTTTTTTTTTTTGTATCAAACTGTTGTGTAGGGCTGTGCAAATCAATCTGAAGTATTGGTGTATCAATACCGAAAGGAGTATTAAAATTGCATAGAAAATATTCAGATTGCTACTTTGTTGTTTACATTATTTACTTTATTTCTCCACATGATTTCTTACATTTAGTGATGATTTTAGCTCATGTGATGATAACCCTGCCTCTTTTCTCTTCGCTCAGAGTCGTGTTGTGTCTCTGTCTGATGCTCATACACAAACTAGTAGCAGTTTTACTTTTTAAATCAGTTGTGTTATTGCAATATCCAACACAGTAATCAAATATGACTGCCAAAGCTGAGAAATGAGAGGCTCTTGGAAGGTGAGGAAGGAACACCACAAGTCTTAGGGAAAAGCATTATTTACGTAAGAGTAGCTTAGAGAGTAACTGTCGGGACATATCATCTGATTTATAATATATAATTAATGTCATTGGAAGAACAGAGGCACAAAATCTGGTATTTTCAAGGGACAGACACAGCAAACGAGACAAACTAGCCCAGCCCAGTGTCTTTGTTACCTGCCCAGGTGAGAAGACAGCTGGAGAAAGTTCATCTAAGACCAAGTCAACCCTCGTGTGCTGAGGACATGTGCAGCACAGCTCACTGGGATCCTGCACTTTCTCCTCACCCTGAGTCTGAAGTTTGTAAGGATACTGGTGCTGTGGAAGACCTCCTGCATTGTGCCAGTGCCCAAGAAGTATATTCAATCTTGACTTAATGACTTCAGACCAGTTGCTTTGACGTCTCTTGGTATGAAAGTATTTGAGAGACTTGTTCTGGCTCAACTCAGATCCCTGGTGGCACCTTCCCTGGATCCTCTGCAATTTGTCTATCAGTGCCATTTAGGTATGGAAGATGCTGTAATCTGTCTTCTGCAGCCTGCTCACTCACAGCTGGATAGTGTTAAGGGCTCTGTGAGGATATTGTTTTTTGATTTCTCCAGTGCCTTTAACACAGTTCAGCCCTTTCTGATGAGTGAGAAGCTGCTCAGGTTGGGTGTCAGCTCCTCCATTGTCTCCTGAATTACTGACAACCTGTCAAGCAGACCTCAGTACGTGTGACAGGGAGCATCCTGTCTGATACTGTGGTCAGTAATGTAGGAGCCCCAGGGTACATTCCTGTTTCGGTTTCTGTTCACTCTGTACACCTCTGCTTTCCAGTACGGCTCCGGGTCCTGACAGCAGGTCTGTGATGACTCTGCAGTGGTTGGGTGCATCAGAGATGGACAGGAGCTGGAGGACAGGACACTGATTGCAAACTTTGTGCAATGGTCCCAGGCAAACCATCTGTTCCTGAACGTTGACAAGACTAAGGAACTGGTGACTGACTTCAGAAGAAAGAGGACATCAGTAGAGCTCATCACCATCCGGGACCCTGACATGGAACTAGTGGACTGCTACAAGTACCTTGGCGTCCAGGTGTACAGCAAACTGGACTGGAGGGACAACAGTAATGCTGTGTACAAAAAGGACATGAGTAGACTCTATTTCTTGAGAAAGCTTAGGAATGTCCCTTTCAATGGAGATCTTCTACCAGTCTGTGGTGGCCAGCACCCTATACTTGGCTGTGGTTTACTGGAGGGGCAGCACCAGTGAAAGAGACACTGGGCAGACTGACAAACTGATCCGTAAAGCTGGTCACGTGATCAGCTGTGAGCTGAAGACATTTGTTACTTTTAGGGACAGGAGGACACTGGACAAACTGCTCACTCCTGCTCTGTGCACCAGACTATAGTGGGACAGATAATACCCCCTGCAACTGTACAACAACTCACCCACTGCACCAGACTATAAAGGGACAGAGGAACTCATTCTCCAACAGGCTCGTAAAAGCTCTGCTCAAACAGTGACAGATACACTTATACTATACTCCATACAACTGTACAACTACTCACCCTTATGTAACGGATAATACTCCCTACAACTGTACAAAAACCCACCCTTTTGTAACAGATAATACTCCCTACAACTGCACAACAAATCACCCTTATGTAACAGATAACACTCCCTACAACTGTACAACAACCCACCCTTATGTAACAGATAATAGTCCCTACAACTGTACAACAAGTCACCCTTATGTAACGATGTCCTGTCAATCATCATATCCTTGTTGTACTGTCTTCCTATGACCTCTTGTATATAGCAGAGGTTTTACATTTTATTACTTAGGTATCCATCCATTTTCTTCCTCTTATCCAGGGCCGGGTCATAGGGGCAGCAGTCTAAACAGGGACTCCCAGACTTCCTTGACCCCAGACACGTCCTCCAACTCCTCCGGGGGGACCCCAAGGCATTCCCAGGCCAGCAGAGAGACATAGTCCCTCCAGCATGTCCTGGGACATTCCCAGAACAAATCCCGAGGGAGGTGCCCAGGAGGCATCCGGAACAGATGCCCGAGCACCTAAGCTGCCTCCTCTCCTTCTTGAACCCCCTCCTTGAACTGTCACCTTATCGTGGTGGAGAGGTTTGAGTGTCCGAATGATCCCGGGAGCTATATTGTCGAGGGCTTCATGCCCCTGGTAGGGTCACCCAAGGCAAACAGGTCCTGGGGGATGGGTCAGACGAAGAACGGTTCAGAAGCCCCTATGTTGAGTGCACCAACAAGGCCAGATACGTCGCCTGGATTGGTGTCACCGGGGCCCCACCCTGGAGCCAGGCCTGGGGTGGGTGCTCGACTGCAAGTGCCACAGCCCTAAGGAGTGACATGGGGCTGCCCTTCCGTGGGCCCACCACCTGTGGGAGGATCCATATGGGGCCGGTGCAAGGAGTTCTGGGCGGTGGTCAAAGGCGGGGATCTCGACGACCGTATCTCTGGACATGGAGACTACTTACTTATTTTTCTATTTTATTTTGACTTGTACATATACATATAAATCAATCAATCAAACTTTATTTGTATAGCACTTTTCATACATCTGAAATGTAGCACAAAGTGTTTTTTTTTTTTTTTTTTTTATGTCCTCTTTAGTGTTTCAATCAATCAAACTTTATTTACAAAAAAAAATTTACATACAAAAATGCTACACAAAATGCTTTACAGTTATTAAAAACAAAAGGTCCAGACCCAGTCAGAAAGCATGTGGTTTGGAGCAGAGTTCAGACTTTGGAGGAAGATACATTTACTGACAAAGAAGAAATTCATTTTGTCAACTGGACAAACCTTTATTTAGGTTGAAAACATTTCGCAGCTCATCCATGATACTTCTTCACTTGGATGAGCTGCCAAACGTTTTGGACCTAAATCAACTTTGCTTAGTGAACAAACTGAATTTATCCTTTGCCATGGATTCTACCTGGACGACTGAGGGATCTACACACATTTTGAACTGATTTAAAGGCTTTCTTGTGTATGTTTATTACGTTATTGAAAGCCATATTTACTTTTTTACAAAAGGAAAAATAAAATAAAAAATCTATACAAGGCTAAAGCATTTATTTTGTCATATGACCAAGCCATATGTACTTATATTATGTATTTTTTGTTGTCAGAATGAGTATTGGAGATAGCTAACGTTAAATAAAAGCAAACGGCTCTTACTGGGCTTGGTTAGTACTTGGATGGGAGACCACTGGAAACTCCAGGTGCCACAGTGGGGTGCCACCCGCAAAAACTATTGTTGTGTTCTTAGGCAAAACACTTCGCCCACACTTTGCCTAGTAAGAAAGTGGAGTGTGCATAAATGTGTGCAAGGAGCCGGTGGCAGCCTCGCTTACATCAGTCTACCCCAGGGCAGCTGTGGTTACAAAAGTATGGAACCCCTAAGTGAGGAATGAATAAATAATGAACTGTAAAGCGCTTTGGATGTCTCGAATGGTGCTATATAAATGCAATGAGTAATTAATTATCGTTACTGTTTTATATCATACAAAATATTTACAAATCAATACATTCATTGATTTTCATCTCCAAAGACAATTACTGCAAGTATAAAGGTCCCATATGGTCTAGCGGTTAGGATTCCTGGTTTTCACCCAGGCGGCCCGGGTTCGACTCCCGGTATGGGAACTACATTTTTCACGCGGCAGGAGCAGGTAATGACAGTGATTAGATCAAGTCTCTTACTCATGTTTCTGAAGTAAACTATGAGCACCATCAGTCTGTCGCCTGTGTAAATGGCCTATTACACTACATCCTTTTAGCGAATACACTGAAGTGAATTAATTTTTGCCTTCTTGTTTAATAAAAGTTTCCCACTAAAAATTGCACAATATCTTGTTTCAGTAATTATTTCTGCCGTCCTATTCCGGAGAGTGTGCGTCAAAAGTGAACAGCTTGGCAAAGAGTAAAACATAAAACGCTATACATGATTTGACCTCTAGGGGGCACAACAGAGCTATAGAACTAGTTTATTTAACATTAGCAACGACAAAGTTTATCAGACCATTAACAATTTAAAGGATGATGTAACCATTTTAGCTTTCTCGTAAACATTTTACAGACCTAACTGTATTTAAATATGATGAAATTATCCTCCTTCTCTACCTCTCTCTCATTATAAAGAATGCATGTGGAGCAGAGGAGGGAGGGGGCTTCGGTTCCGTGGTTCTGTACCGGTGTCGGGTTGCAGCTGGACTCGGGCGGAGTGAGCTCTGTCCGGGCTGTGTTTAGGTTCGGTCCCGCTCCTGCACACTTGACTGTCGCGACGTGTCTTTCTTTTGTCTGAAACTATAGAAACGTTTAGACCAAAGGCGAATGGGTGAACAAATTAGTTTTATGTTTAAGCATTTTTCAGGACATTTACAAAGTGGACGACACGTGTTTATTTGGGATTTTTAAAACGTTATTTGCAAGACAGAAAGAGGAAAGATGATTTTGCAAACTCTGCTTTTCATCCACAGTAAGTAGCTTTGCAGTTTTGTTATTCTTTCATATTAAATTATTAGCTGGATTTATTATTTTAAAAAGTGGGTCACAAGTTCACCAAAGGATAGAGTAAACTGGCTTATCAGCCTAGTTCAAGATGCATGGAAGACATTAAAGAAATAGTGACCTGTTTCTGATAACATCTTTAACTACACGTTTTATTTTTCTGTCAGGTTGAGCTGCACAATCTCCATGACTGAGTAGGGCTGTTGTTGTATTTTATTTTAATCTCATTTGAGTTTTATCTTCTTCTTCATGATGGATTGATGTCTGGCAAGTTATGGCCTAGATTTGAAGTGTAAGGAGATAAGATCCAAAACAGGAGTAAAAGTACATTTTTATTTTGTAAGTTAATGAGTAAATGAGCCAAAAACACAAACACGACCACAACAGATATAAAACATACTATACCTGACATTATATTTGTTTTGAGAAATGTCTTAAATAGCTTTTAAGAGTTTTTAAAAAGTAAATTTAATTTTTTGGATCTTCTTGGGATCCATAAAATGTAAAAATGTAAAATTACTTACATATATAGTTTTCAATTAAAAATAAGCTTAACAGTTGTACTTTAAAAGATAGTTGAGCTCAATCCATTTTGTAGTTTAACTATAGAAAGTTGAATTGACCAGCTGTCCCAAATGTTGTTGACCTCTGTGTAATATCTGGCCTACTTTTATATACCATTGTGTTGACACATGTAGGACTAGATCATTGCAGTTACAAACCTTTGAAAACAAGTAAAAAGTAAAAATAGTGTGACGTCTCCAGTGTTGCCATAACACCATGTGCATAGCTGAGGTGTTTTCAAATGGAAATGTTAAAACCTGGCTTTGTCTGAATCTGTTTAAGTCATTACTGTGTTTACCTCTTCTCTCTTACAGTTGCAGTAGCATGTCTCATCACTGCAGGTAAGTATCAGTACTGAGTTCATATACTACAAAAATACAGCTTAATTCATTGATGAAATACTCTCCTCTGCATCCTCTGCTCCATCTGACCCTCTTCTCTTCTCTGGATCCTCTGTTCCATCTGACCCTCTCTTTTGTATCCTCTGCTCCATCTGAATTTCTTCTCTTATCTGCAGCTTCTGCTCCATCTGACCCTCTTCTCCGCATCATCTTCTCCATCTGACCCTTCTAAATTTGCATTCCTCTACACATATTCCAGCTCCAGTTTATATACTATAATTTAAAATTGGCTAAACTAGTCTTAACTTGGACTTACCAATGTCTCAAGTAAACCAAAATACCTCCTAATTCTCTATTTTCCAGTTTGGGCCCAGTCGGACAGCAGCAGTAGTTTAGTGGTGGCAGCTTACAACATGAGTGCCCCTGCTGGTTCCAAGGTGGTACTGCAGTGTGTGAGTGGCCGTATGGTTTGGACCAGGGACAGGATTCGGGACAGGCAGAGGGTTTTGCACTGGGACATGTACCGGGCCAGTCCGGACTACGTCATGGAGCGAGTGGTGGACATGTTCTCAGGTCCTGGAGGAGACCAGCGCATCTACAACTCGTACAACCTGGGCAGGGTCAGCCTCAGCAAGAAGGCTTTTAAGGACGGGAACTTCTCTCTTGTCATCAAAGGTAAGGCATTTGATTCAGTTATTACGGTACTTTTATTGGTGTTTTGGGGGTGGGAAGTTAACTAAAAGTACTACTCTGTTTGAAGCTCTGTTACTCAAGTTAGTCGTTAATCTAAGACTATTTGGGACTATTTTGGGGAAAATATTTGTGATTTGTGTTTTAATAATAAGATATTTTAAATATGTCCAGAAGATTTGACTGGAAGACTGAAATTAACTGACATACTAATACAAGAATCACATTTCAGAACATGTTTGTACAGATCAAAACTACAGTGTTAGCAGTTTTTATGTAGAATAAAAACAGATATTTTGTTTGTAGAGGAAATTATTGCACTTAAAGAAAGATTTGTGATTTGCTGATTGCGTCCCTTCAAATTTGATTTTGATTCAATTGCAATTAATCTTGCAGCTCCATTTTGTCTTGAGTATTCCCCTAGGCTTTGCATCACACTGCAACTACACCCTAACGACAAAAAAATATTTTTCCTTTACTAGTATATTGTTAAGTATTACGTTCTTGTTTTAATTATATTGTTATACAGAATCTTCCAAAACATTCTTTAAACATTGTTTATTTATACTGCCAGAGAAAATGTTGAATTTAGCACCAGTTTATGTTTCATGTGGATAGGCCCAGTAATGACAGAGATACTAACCATATACCACGTCAACAAATCTGCAATTTAACAGTTACACAGCAAATGCCTCAACAGAATTCTTAGCTGTCCTCCAGCTCAATTTGAACTATAGAGATTCAAGATGTAGTGATATCACCCATTGATTCTAATCATGAATTGCAAACTTTAGCCCCTTTTGAGAATCATTTAAATCCTGGTTTAGGGCTATTCTTGTGTCAGGCTTGTTATAGTCCTGATGTGACCTTCCCCACCCCCCCTCTACACTACTGTCTTTTATACAGAGTGAGAAATCCCTCAGGGGCTCAGGTCCCATATGGTCTAGCGGTTAGGATTCCTGGTTTTCACCCAGGCGGCCCGGGTTCGACTCCCGGTATGGGAACTGGCCTTTTCAATTAATAGCAATTAACCATGAATTAATAAGATCTTTATCAAATCTTAAAATACCAATATTCTTCAGATCAGTAAGCCTATATGTTAGCTTCTTGTTATATGCAACAGTGTTTCCCATTCAAAAGATATAATATTTTGTTTTAAATTGTTAATCGCTATGGCAAGATCTTAATTTCTCATAATTCTGAACCTGATGGAGAAGTATCTCAATAAACAACTAAATATTTAAATAATTTTAGACACTATCTTCTTGTTCTTAAGTTAAGTTCAATCTCAGTTTTCTTACAGTAGGCATATTTGTCAATACTGTGCCAACTCAACACTGAGTCAATAACTTTCCTGAATAACTTACTGAATTTTGTGCTTTTTGTTCCCAACATAGACGTGACGATGAATGACCGTGGGCTGTACTCGTGTAACCTGCACCACCTGTACTGTCACCTGTATGAGACTGTGAGGGTCCAGCTCAACGTCACCAAATCACGTAAGGAGATAATCACTAACTCATCAAACATATTCTCGTCATGTTTAGAACAAAGAGAATCCAAAGTCCCATTCACACATACAGCCTGACCCGGGAGTTGACCTGCATTTTGCGAGAACAGGGTTATGTGCAAACTCTACTCTACATAGGTCATATCTGCAGAGCATGCACAACCAGGAAGTAAAATGATAAACTTGAACAAAATAAAGAAAATAAAAGATAGAACAAACTTTTTAGAACAAGATTTTTTGTAAAATCCTAAATTATGTTTACTGTGCTTTAGTGAGTGTAGTCTAACTTGTCATACGTACTTTAAACATATTCTTAGTCTTTTTCAGTCCATAGTGAGAGTGTGTTTGTGTCTGTGTGTCAGGGCGTAAAGAGCAGAGGTACTGGGACGGGCAGAAGGCTGTGTTTGTGGTGCTGCTGGGGAGCACTGTGGTTCTGCCCTGCATCAACAGACGCAGCGTTTGGACCGACTGGAGCACTGACGAGGAGGATCAGCAGGTCAGGAGGTCTACTACTACTACTACTGTACACTTTCACACATAAAGACAAAAGTATAGATGTAGACACACATACTTAACAATCAGCCAGGTCCAGGTCTAAACCAGGCTCCAAACAGCTCTAAACCAGATCTAATGCAGGTCTAAACTAGGTCTAAACCAGGTCTAAACCAGATTCCAAACAAGTATAAACCAGGTCTTAACCAGGTGTAAACCAGGTCTAAACCAAGTGTAAACCAGGTCTAAACCAGGTCTAAACAGTTTCCAAACAGGTCTAAACCAGGTCTAAACCAAACTCCCAACAAGTATAAACCAGGTCTTAACCAGGTCTAAACAAGGACTAAACAAGGTCTAAACCAAATCCAAATCAGGTCTAAAGCAGGTCTAAACCAGATCTAAGCCAGGTCTAAACCAGGGCTAAACCAGATCTAAACCAGGTCTAAACCAGGTATAAACCAGACTCCAAACAAGTATAAACCAGGTCTTAACCAGGTCTAAACAAGGACTAAACAAGGTCTAAACCAGATCCAAATCAGGTCTAAAGCAGGTCTAAACTAGGTCTAAACTAGGTCTAAACCAAATCTAAACCAGGCCTAAACCAGGTCTATTTCTGGTCTATCTTGGTCTCTCCTCTCAGGTGGTACATTGGGACCGGCAGTCTCCTGGAGTGCTCCATGACAGGGCAGATCGCCTGGTGGACCTGTATGCCTCTGGAGAACAGCGCAGCTATGGACCACTGTTTCTGCGACGCAAAATGAACATCAGCAGCCTCGCCTTTTCAGAGGGGGACTTCTCTCTCACCATCTCAGACCTACAGGTGAGAAACAGCCTTGTATATATGAAGACAACACTGTTTTTTTTTTTAAAGAGGGGGTATTTCATTGCTATACATATCACATATTTAGATCACCATGTCACCTTTTATTCTTTTGAAAATGCTATATTTGCTGAAAACAATATATTAACATGTTTTTATAAATGTCACTCATTCCAAGAACACAACAATAGCATTCATCTGTGGGAGCTAGAATCACACCACCAACCAAAAAGAGCTAATGTAAAATTTTTAAAGGGTAGAAAGCGATACATCTGCACTTCGTTAAACGGTGGTTAATTTTACAATCCATTCACTTTTTTTTGGCAAAACATAAACCATCACCCACCAGGATATTAAGAGATTCATTTTTGTGATTGTCATCCACCCCTAAATGTGTGTAATTTTTTCCCCTATATTACCAGTCAGCTAACACACGTGAGCAGTGGTCCACATGTAAAGCCATATTATTAGTCTGTCTGTAAACATCTGGTATTTTCATCACTGCCACATCTGGAAAAACAACTGGCAGCTACAGACACTTCAGCAAAAGCATTTTTTTTCTAGCGTATCATCACACAAATACAATAAACTCTTCCCAGGAAACAGATCTCTGTCCCCCGAGCTGTGGTTGTAGACAGAAATCTCCATAAATCTAAGACTAACTCCAGAGATGCATTGTTAAAGATAGAGTTCATAATTCAGTGTAAACTAGAGGGATCTGATGGCTCTCTGGGCTCAGTGCTGAAGATGTTTTCAGTTTTCAACACGGAAGACATATGTAAAAGTCTTCAAGCCATTTTTTACTGTTTCCTAGATCTGTAGCTGAGCCCCTACCACTCACATGGACAGAACAACCATATGCTTTCATTTTAAACTCAAACATGGCACAGGGAAGCCTAGTTTTTATTTGAAGACATTACAAATTCTTGGAAAAAGTTAACAACAACAACCATGCTATCTTTAATGGGAAAAAGACTACAAGTGAACAAAGCTGCAGTAGTCAGGCATGAAAACGGGTCAGGTGTGAAAAAAGTGAGAAAGGTGCATGAAGGGAAGCGTGGCCTCTGGATGTCTGTGTGTTGTTGTTGCGTTGTATGAGCAGGTCTAAAGTAGGAGTACCACAAGACTAAACCAGGTCTAAATCAGGAATAAACCAAGTCTAAAGTAGGACCAAACAAATCTAAACAAGACCAAACAAATCTAAACAAGTACTCTCATGAGACTAAACCTGGACTAAACCAGGTCTAAACCAGGACGACCTTAAGATTGAACCAAGTCTAAATCAGGTTTAAAGTAGGACTACCACAAGACTTAACCAATCTAAACTAGTACCCTTGTAAGATCAAACCAGGACTAAACCAAGTCTAAAGCAGAACTACCACAAGACCAAACCAGTTCTAACCCAGAACTACCACAAGACTAAACCAATCTAAACTAGTACTAAAACTAAAATTAAACCATCATGTTAGAGGGGCCCTTGTCTGGACTGGGCCCTGAGTAAACAGTACCCTTTACCCGCCCAGTCCGACATCCCTGAGTGGAGTAGTTCAAATTAAAGAAATATATAAATATATTAAATATAGCATTTAATATAGCTAGTATACAGTTGATTTAGCAGGTGGTTAAGCACTTTTAATATGCAACTTTTAACATTATTTTTTAGCTTTTTTTTGCCATTTTGAGCTTGAATATTCATTTTACATTCTTAAGTGAATTTCTAACTTTTAATTGCAATAAAATCCACAGTCCAAGTTATTGGTCAGATCTGTGGGCTCACAGACCTGCTCACAGTATAAGGTATAAGCAAAAAAAAAAAAAAACAATAACAGATTTAACCTGTAACTTGGTCTAGTTTGGTCTCCATGAAGATAGAAAGGTTTAATACCATACTGTGAAACATTCCAAACAAAGCAATAACATTGCCATGGAGAAAAGACAGCCCTCCACCAGAAAGATTTAACTAAATGTTTTTTGGAAAATATAACTGAACAAAAATACAAGCATTTTCCTGGGAAGAGAAAGGGGTTGTAATAGCTGTACCCACTAGCTCAGTCTGTTCTTACATAATACTTGATTCTAGGCATTTTGGCTATGTGTTAAATTTGGCACAAATGAAGCAAATAAGCAGAGGTCTCAGAGTTAGAAAACTGCGGTATCCAGTGGGAGCTGACGAAGCTGCAAACGTCATCACAACAAAGCGCTGCATGCTGTGGACCCCTCCTATTGCTAGCTTCACATCTTTTTCCATTTGTAACAAAATGACACTGATTGCGTTTACATGTGCGTGAGTATCCCAGTTATGAGTCTTATCCTGGTTATGAGTCTCGTCCTGGTTATGAGTCTTGTCCTGGTTATGAGTCTTATTCCAATTATGAGTCTTATCCTGGTTATGACAGTATTCTGGATCTGGTGTATACATGTGCTCAGAGAAACCAAGACACTCACATCTCTGTGTACATGAGGAATCAGAGTATCCTGGATATTTAGACTGGTTGCTATGATAACTATTACAGAGATATGGAAAGGAGCTAAACTTGCAGAAACTTTGCTAACTTGAAGGGACAGTTCGGAATTTTGGACATACGGCATCATTTCCTAGTGAGCCAGAGTGTTGGAGACGTGTGGAGACACTTTTTAAAATATTCCATCCAGTCCTTGTATTTGCAGAGGTCTCTGGTGCTAGGCTAGTGCATGTCAATGGCCATAGTTATTCTGCCACTGAAAACAGTCTTACCCACTCCACAAAACACCCAAAGCAAATCTATTATTACACCAGACTGTCCATGTGAATGTCTGTGTCGATAGAATAATTTAAGAAGTAAAACCAACGTTGCATTTGAAGGATTTATGTCTGAGCAGCAGCAGTGAGTTGTACTTCCTGATAGAAAGCTCGGCAGCTGCGGACTGATATATGAGAAAATAGTCCCTGGACATGCGACCATTTATGCGATGCAAGGTTAGTTTTATTTCAAACATTATTCTATCAACACAGACGTTTACATCGACAGTCTGGCGTAATAATAGATTTGCTTTGGGTGTTTTGTGGAGTGGGTAAGACAGGATAACTATGGCCATTGACATGCACTAGCCTAGCACCAGCAACCTCTGCAAATACAAGGACTAGATGGAATATTTAAAAAAAGTGTCACCACATGTCTCCAACACTCTTGCTCACTAGGAAATGAGCTCCTATGTCCAAAGTTCTGAACTGTCCGTTTAAGGCTTTTTAAGAGGTTTCTAACAACAGAAACATAGATGTACATTAAAGTTAGAACATAGTACTAAAACAAAATCTGCCTACTAAACTAGGACTAAACCAAGATGTAACACCTTCTTTGACACTCATACACAGGCAGAACATGCAAACTCAACACAGAAGACTCATGCTTTGCTGTGAGACAGGAATTCTAACCTCTAACATTGCAGGAGAGGGACAGTGCCTTGGTGAAGGTCTGCTATAAACTGCTACACTGCACAGTTTTTCCAGTTTTGTTTAATATAGAATGTATAATAACCCTATAATGTATACTTTCATATGGTCTCATTTTCAGTATGATTTATGCATATTTCTCTCTGTTGTTTTGAGAAAGAGATCCACCCACTGCTTTCAAAGTCTCGCTTTCAGATTCTTCTAACCACAACTTTCCAACTCCCACCCTCCAAAAACGCAGATATTATTTCCCACATAGACACAGTATGATTATGAGGGACGGTCCAATTTAGATCATCTTGGCATGTTGTTATCATATACATATATCTATCGTGAGGGCAACAAGTATTTGTAGTTGAGTACTTTTCACTTTTGTACAAATAATTACATCTGGAATATAGTAGTAATATAATTTGTTGTCTTTTTATTTTGGTTTCATTGCTCATTTATTTCCAAGACTAGAGCAATGTAGAGAACAATATTGGTGGATTTCAACATATTGAACAGATACCAAAGCTAAAAAAAAATCCTCAAATGGGCCTGTATCAATTTAAGCACAAACATAATAATAATGGATCAGATTTAAATAACGCTTTTTTGGACACTCAAAGATCATTACATTCATTGAAATTCTTCTGTTTTTGCAGCCTACAGACGAGGGCTTATACTCCTGTCACCTTCACCATCACTACTGCGGTCTGCACGAGAGGAGGCAGTTCCAGCTCAGGGTGGATCCTGCAGTGGTCCAGCCCACACAGGCAGCCCGAGCTTTGCCTAGCGAAGACAAGGGTAAGGGCCACATTAATACAAGATAAAGGAGCACTGTGTAACTTTTCTGCTTCTGCTTCTGCGTCCATGGAGATGTTATCGCTTTGCCTGGAAATGTCCACAGCTGTGAAAATCACGCCCTCTGATGGCAATTGTTGGAAGTAAATCATGTTGAAATGGCTTCTTAGCAGCACATTAGCAGCATAATGCATAATGTTTTGCTTTTCGTCTGATTCAACTTGGAAAGAGTGTAACTTATGTCTACTACGGGAAGCTTTTAATGGCTTTAGTCCAGATTTTGTCACAGTTTTGTCACAGTATTGATGTGGTTTGCAAGTGAGTTTTATAATAAGCACATGTGTTGTTGCTTATGTCTTGACCCTCTTGTTTCTCTACAGTGGGAAAAACCTGCTTTCTCTGAACATTTTTGTGTGTTTGACATTTTCTTCTGCACAGTCAGCGCATTTCACTCTGAACTTGAGTCCCTCCCTGCTCTCCACTCACCTCTGACTCGCTCCTCTTAGACTCTTCACTTTGAAAACATCTGAACAAGTTTAATGTCGAGGGTCTTTGGGGAAATGTCTGGTTTTGTCTTCAGTGCTTCCTTTTCCAGACATAAGAGCGGCCAGTGGAACAAGTTATACTTACTTACTCTAAACATGTTGCTGTAAACACAATTTTAAAAGTCAGTCATATGAGAGACAAGAAGAAGAAGTTACAGTCATATGAGATTATAACAGATAGTCCATACTGTAAACAATTGGAAGCGATGAGTGGCGAAACATTTTCACTCTAAAAACCTTGGCCCAGTTGAAAAAATTCGACCTTGTTTTGCCGTGTCAATATTTTTCACTTGAAATAAGGATAAAAATACATATAAAGTTTTCATGGGTTTCAGACAATGATTTCTTACAGATTCTGTGAGGACCTTTCCCCTTTCCAAAGATATGAGTTTATTAATTTAATTGAGTCATTTGGGGCTGTTGCCATAGATTCAAACTAGAGAAGGACTGATGGTTTTTTTCATGGCTGATGCTGATACTGATGGTTAGAATCCAGTGAAACCGATGACCGATAAGCTCTGCCAATATATTTGGGTCGATATGTTGGGCCGGGTAGGATTATATTGTCCAAATTCTGTAATCATAATTTACAACAAACTCAGTTACAGCCCTTTTTTTTAACCACAAAACTATAAGAGAATGATGCTGTCACGCTTTGTGTAGTTATGTCTTCACACTAAAGTGTTAAAATAAAGCTTTCTGTGTATTTTTAGGCAGCAGGTGGGTCAAAACAAAGCATCGATCTGTTCTGGAGATTTAAGGTCGATAGCCAATACACTAAAAAGGCCAAATATCGGCCCAACATATTGACCAGCTGTTATATTGGCAATCAGATCTATCAGTCTATTTATCTCTCTGCCAAGTGAAGTGGATCTCCCTTCACATTTTTGAAGAGTTAAGTCCCAAGTCTATGGCCCACAGGTTCAAGTCAAGTCCAAGTCTTTAAGTTTCAAGTATTTATACCAATTTTATATTTTTGTAAATTTGGGAGAAACATACATGTTCCAGTTTTTTTCTTTAAAGTTTTGCATTAAAAGTACTTTAACTATAAACAGAAAACAGTGAACAAAATAATTTTTTGGGGAGAAGCATGAAGCCATCTCCAATTACAGAGCTCAAGTCCAAGTCCCAAGTCCCACATCTTAGTCCATTAGTCCTTTTTCTAACTCAAGTCTCAAGTTGACAAAATTGTCAAGTCCACATCTCTCAAGTCCACATTGCCACACGGAATTACATTCATGTACCAATGTGGGGAAATTGTTTAGTTCAGATAAGGGGATATTTGTGGTTAAAAGAGAGAGAGAAGAAATGGGAGAGAAGGAAAAGAGGTCAGAGAGAGAGAAAGAGAGAGGGAGGGAGAGAAAGAGAGAGGGTGGGAGAGGTGAGAGAAGGAGCCAAGTCGACTTCCTCTGAATCTCTTAATCTCTCCCACTCATTACCGTACTGTACTGTGGAATTGTGGGTAATTTAGCAAGTGGTGTGTGACTAATTTATTTCCTCCAAGATTTAGTGACCCCAAGTTTCAGTTCCTCCCCTGAGAGTGTGGGGTTTAGTCTTATCTCCTTTTGGCATGATTTCTCTCATGGCAAGTTTAAAAAATCAATGTAGTTTTGTTTGTTTGACTACTGCTCCTTTCACACGCAGTCATAGTTTTCAGTTTCCTGTTTATAGGCGCCATTTTGAGGTCTTTTCACCTTTCAAGCAATATATATGTTTTGAATTTATATGGCTTTGGCATTTGTTCATCGTTTTGAAACCCATAGATTGGCTGTATTCTTCATTGGCTTGTACTGTAAAACTATGGGGCATTCATTGCTTTTGAAGACATTTCCAAACTTATGATCCACAAATGCTGAATCTTATCGTTTTTGTGAGGGAATGGACCAAAAAATTGCCACATTACTCTTGCGGCTTACACTTCTTTCAACTGTCGACAATGACGCCTTTTGTGCCTGAACAATGCCAACACTTTGTGATCTCAATGGAAAACCCACTGGTGCTGACAGAGAAGACACTGAATTTTATGTCAGTTTTTATTTCCTGTTTTCTTCCATTTTATTATTTTCACTGGACCTCCAGCTCAGTTTTAATCTATGGGCTGCACCACTACTACTACCACTGCTACTACTACTGTTGCTACTATTATGACTACCACTACTTCTACTACTTTCTATTGCTGCTGCTACTACTACCACTACAGCAACAACTACTACTGCTACTACTACTACTACTACTACTACTACCACTGCTTCTACTACTAGTGCTGCTACTACTACTACTGCTGTTGTTGCTACTACTACTACTAATACTGCTGTTACTATTACAACAAATACTACTACTAGTACTAGTACTAGTACTACTACTACTACTACCACTACTACTACTACTGCTGCTGCAACTGCTGCTACTATTACAATGACTTCTACTACTAGTAGTGCTGCCGCTACTATTACAACAGCCACTACTACTTCTGCTACTACTGCTGCTACTATTACAACTACTACTACTACTACTGCTGCTGCTACTGTTACAACTACTACTACTACTACTACTACTACTACTACTATTACTACTAGGGCTGCTACTACTATTACAACAACTACTACCACCACTGCTGCTACTACTGCTACTACTATTACCACTGCTACTACTACTAGTGCTGCTGCTATTAATACTGCAACTACTACTACTGCTACTGCTACTGCTGCTGTTGCAACTGCTACTACTGCTTCTACAACTACCAGTACTACTTCTACTACTGATACTACTACTACTACTACAAACACTACCACTACTACTGCTACTACTATTACTACTACTACTACTACTACTAGTGCCACTGCTGCTGCTGCTGCTGCTACCAGATTGTAATTGTATAGGATTTGCTCTTATCTCTCTGTCCTGGTAGCTCAGTCCACCCCTGTTTGATTTGGCTTCAGCATTACATTTTTACATGTCACTTTTAACTTCTCCTTTCTTCTCTTCACCCTGGCCTCTGTGTTTGATCTCACATTCTCGAGGACTTAACCAGGACTAAAACTGGACCAAACAAAGACTAAAACTAAGCAGAACTAAAGACTGAACATGATTTAGACTGGGTTCATGAAGAAGAATGACCCTTGACCTACGTAATATATTTTTGGTTAAGTGTATTTCTTCAACATCTGCCCCTCAAGCAATTGTGTTTGAGAGGTAAACCAGGACTAAACCAGGTTTAAACCAGGTCTAAACCAGGTCTAATCCAGGACTAAACCAGGTCGAAACCAAATTTTCTGTTTGGTCTGTCTCTGTGTTTTGCCTCTTTAAAAGCCCCAGTCTCAGGTTTGTTTGTATTCAGTCCAGTCTTTTCCACTGCCTCAGCTCCACATGCACGCATCATCTGTTCAGCAGCTGCATGGGCTTAAAGGAGAGAGACGGACTAAACCAGGACTAAAACTAAACCAGGACTAGACCAGGACTGAACCACGATTAAAGCAATACTAAACCAGGACTACGTCAGCTCCACACAGGCACACATCATTTGCAGATACTGTAGGAAAGAGGAGGACTAAAAAAAGGCCGGACCCATACTAAATAAGGACCAAAAATGCTAAAAGGGTTAGATCAGGATAAAACCGGATCTAAACCAGGACTAAAAGAGGACTAAACTAGAACTAATCTAGGACTAAACCAGGTCTAATCCAGGACTATCTCAGTTCCACACGTGCATGCATCATCTGTTCAACATCTGGGCACACGCTATACAAAGAGGGGGACTCAATCAAGACAGCACAACCTGGACTAAACCAAGATCAAAACACGACTAGATTAGAGCTAAACTAGGGCCAAATCAAGACTAAACCAGGACTTAAACAGGACTAAAATAGCACCAAGACTAAACCAAGACTAAAACATGACTAAACCAGAGCTAAACCAGGACCAAATCAAGACTAAACCGGGTCTAAACCAGGACTAAAATAGCATAAACTGGACTAAACCAGGACTAAAACAGGACTAAACTAAAACTAAAACAAGACTAAACCAGGACTAAAGTAGCACAACCTGGACTAAACCAAGACTAAAGCAGGACTAAACCAGAGCTAAATCAGGACCAAATCAAGACTAAACCAGGACCAAACCAGGACTAAAATAGCACAATCTGGACAATACCAAGACTAAAACACAACTAAACCAGAGCTAAACCAGGACCAAATCAAGAGTAAATCAGGACTAAAATAGCACAAACTGGACTAAATCAGGACTGAAACAGGACTAAAATAAACCTGAAACAGGACTAAAGCAGGACTAGCACAACCTGGACTAAATCAAGACTAAAGCAGGACTAAACTATCTCTAGACCAGAAGTAAAAGAGTGCTAGATCAGACTAAACCAGAACAAAAGCAGGTCTAAAGGAGAAGTAAGTAGCCCTTTACTTGCACACATCATTTGGGCACTCTTTATAGGTGACATCTTGAGGACTTTTGACCTTTTTTGCCTTATTTTATAGATAATAAAATGATGACAAGAACAAGAATCAGAAGAAACTTTGCTACTGTCTCATGAGAGTCCTTTCTGTTGTATGAAGGACATGTGCAATAAATTGGACCTAAATCCTTCAAGAGAATCAGCTCAGACAGTAATAGTTTGAACAGACTTCAATAGTCTTGGATTCTACAAATGTATTTTTAACAGTCTTACTTCTGAGCAACACTGATTACTTTATCAGACTCTGTTATTCCTGGATACAAATATACAGATAGAATTGTTTGTCACTTCACCTACAACATCTGCTTAGGGGTGAGCAATACTGGGAAAAATGTATATCTCAATTTTCTTTTCTGTTTTTGCTCTCTGTAACAATATTCAAAGGATAACTTCAAAACGCATCAGGAATGTGCCTATGAAAGTCTTGGTTGAGGATCAAAATGTGAATGAAGCATTAACTTGACCACAAAAGTGCAGAAAGATCACTTACTTGCATACTTGGGAGATTACACTAGACAGATTATTTTTAAGGGTCCTATATTTCACACAAAATTGACTCTTGTGAGCTTCGAGTCACGTTAGAATGCTACCTCATCGAAAACATACGTGGTGTTTGTGTTGTTTCATTCGCACATGTTTGAGTAACACTTTATTATTAGCCTGTCTACATCTCCAAAACTCAAAATGCTCTTTTCCACTTTGTGATGTCATGAAGTGGTAGTTTTCAAGTTAACAGCTCCTTTTACCTTTTGTTCAGTAGATTTTATTATATATTCCAGGGCTGAAATTATCCAAATGATTGAGATAAAGAAGTGAAGGCGTATTGAGTTTAAAAGCACTTCCTTTATTACCATATGACATCACAGGGTGGACCAGAGTGTTTTCAATTTGAGAAAAAAAAAAACTCTGAATATATAAAACACAACTCCAGGTATGTTTGTGATGTGGAAACAACAATTATAACAGCATAATGTGGGTCCTTTAAATCAGCTGTTTTTGCCGTAATTTAGTAACAGTTTTATTTACGGACAAAATTCTTGAAATTCTAATCTTGCATGTCTTCAGTAAAATTGCAGTATTACCATATATTTTTTTTTATATATCTCTCTCCCTACATCTGCTATAACATTTGCTACTACTACCACTAGTATTACTCATCAGTTTTGTCTTTAAAAGTACTACTAACTTGCTGCTACTGTTATTAGCATGAGTACAACCACTACTACAACTCCTAGTACTTCTAATACTGGTTGAAACAGCAGGATACTTTTTGTAAGTCACAACAAGCAATAATTTTACCATCTTCCACTCCTCAACATATTCACTTAAGTTTCTGTCAGCTTCATTTGACTGTACACCACTCTGGATATCCCCCTCCTCTCTCACTCTGTCTCTCTTTTTCTCTCTTTCTCTCTCTCTCTCTGTCTCTCTGGTCTGTCTCATCTCTTTATTTTTGTGCCAGGAAAAGTACATTTCAGCAAAACCGGATCTGGACTTCATTTGGGTCTCAAAAATGTCTGAGTCCACAGCTGCACCCACCTCCTCCTCCCCCTCGTGCCCTCGCTCCCTCTTTTTCTCTCCTCATCTCCCCCTCTTTCTTTCCGTCTCTCTGTTTCTCTCTTTCTTCAGTAAAATGCCAGCTATTACTCAGACTGTGTCATTATTAGACTTAGACTAGTGTCTCTTAAACAGGAAGTGACTGAGGTGGCTTGGCATTTTGAAGACTATTTAATAAAACCATTTGAAACCTGGTATGATGGAACAGTAGAAAGACAAAATTTCAATGTATTATTTTTATCCTTTTTAAAACTTATATAACATTATTATCTTTTAGCACATTAACTTTGGGTTTTCACATTGAATAAGTTATTATAGATTTCAAAGATGTTTTACAGACACTTTTCGCAACTGATAACTGTAAGCGCATTCATACTAGGCAAGGTGAGTTGATGAAGTGTCTTGCCTAAAGACACAACAACGGTTTTCACTAGAGCCACTGCTGTCCCACTGCTTCTCCTGGTATTCCCTGGAGTATTACTGTTACTGCATGTTATCATTTCAAAGCTGATGTTTTTCTCCCTTTTGGTCGACAGAGGCTGAACCTCCGCGGGTCATAAACGTGATCCTACCTGATCGGCAACACTACTTCCTGCTTCCTGTGGGATACGCCCTCACTTCATGTTTACTGCTGGCCTTCATTGTGCTCATCATCATCCTCATCACGCGCCGACGGAAGAAGAAAGGTGAGTAGTAGCAGCAGTTGTAGTAGCAGTAGTAATACTAGTAAATATACTAAATATTTTGAGATTGACTTTAGATTAATATCACAATGACAATAGTAGGAGTAGTTGTACCGTATTTTTCGGACTATAAGTCACACTTTTTTTCATGATTTGGGTGTGTCCTGTGACTTATACTCCGGTGCGACTTATATATTAAAATTTTCACACTGACAGCCGTGAGAGACTCTAGGCTTGTGTGCCAGTATCTGCTGCTCCTATTACTCCTGTACCACTGTCACTTCACTTTTTACTGCGCATGTTTCCTGCAGAAAGAGCAGCTGTCCTGCTCCAAGTAGTGAAATATATATACATATATAGCTGAAAAGGGTAATCGAGCAGCAGAAAGAAAGTTTGGAGTGAGTGAGAAACTTGTGAGAGACTGGCGGAAAGCGAGGATGGAGAACACAGCTTCATGGCAATCGGAAGTTGGCGGCATGCAACTTTCCTGGAAGTCACTGGACGGATCGACAAAGCCTGAACTTCAGTGACAACCGAAACCATCCTGTTGGGATACAGAAAGACCGGAATAATTCTAACTGGAACTGATGCAGAGTCTGACGACAGCTACACAGTAGAGGAAGAGGCGCTCTGTTTACATCCGGAAGTTACTGAGTTGCTCAGAAGTGACACCGAGGATGAAGAATTGAATGGATTTAGTGATTTGGAGTGAGATGGAGAGTTTGGTAAACTTGTTCTGTTCTGTTGTTTGTGCTATAGTTATCTGAAGAACTGTTCATATGTGACGTTCACGGTCTGTTGTTCTCTGTTCTATTGTTATTACTAGAACTTGACTTTCAAGATTAAACACCGGTTTCTGGTCTCTGATTTTATAAAATTAATTTCCCCCAAAATGTGAGACTTAAAGTCTGGTGCAACTTATATATGTTTTTTCTTCTTCATCATGCATTTATTGGCTGGTGCGACTTATATTCCAGAGTGACTTATAGTCTGAAAAATACGGTAGTTGTTGTTGAAAAATGAATGCCAAAGTATCTAACCAAATCTATATTTTTTGGTCTTTCAGAGCCATATCCACAAGCTTCAACACGGTAAGCCCTGTAACATAAATGTGCACTCATCTCATTCCGATATCAGGTCAAAAATCTACTTATCTGACTAGTTCACCTTCAAAAAACATGTATTTACTTGGGTTTCTTCTTATATAAAGTCTGATAGTGATCTATACTAGCGATCATACTAATAATATCTAGTGGTGGATATCTATGGCAACAGCAATTTTTTTGATGCTCCTTCTTAAGTGCTGTCTTATTAAATGTTTGTTGTCTTGTTTTTGTCTCCAGGTCAAGTCGAAGTGAGAGCACTTCAGAGGAGCTGGAGATGGAGGTGTCTGAGGTCACTGTGTCCATCAGAGAAGAGCCACTGTTTGGTGAGTTTAAAGCTCCCATCTGCAGGTTTACTTGATTATTTGAACAGGAGATGGCAGATGTGAAACCTGCTAACCCTTCTCTCACCCCTCACCTGTGTTCAGACTCACTTGTGCTCTCTGCTCTTCTTCTGCCACATTATCAGTCTGAAGTAACATGCAGTAGATAGTGTCTAGTACTGTTATGTGAGAATACAACAGGGGTGGGTTGGCCAGTCTGATTACACATGGTATCTTTAAGGAAACATGCTTTGTTAAAAAAAAAAAGAAGAAAGAAAGAAAAGCATTTTGTTAATTTTAAACCACAACTCTATTCTATACCAACTTCAAAATATTAAACAAAAAATTCACTGATTTCTGATCAAACATGCAGCTGATTTGTATTATTTATGTATTTATTTGCAAAGAATCACAAGTAAAAGTAAGTGCAGGGATAGGCAAAATGAAGACTGAATCATTTTTGTATGTTTTATATATGCCTTATTTTTAAAGATGGATTCTCCAAATGTGATTAAATAATGCATCATAAGATTTTAATCACCTGAGATCATTCTAATTCCAGATTACAAAAACAACCTGCTGAAGGAGAAGGCCCACAGGAACTCACAGCCTAAAGTCATCGACCTGGACAAAGGTACAAATATTTTCCCATTATATTTCATGAAAAACTTCCCCTAAATGTAAAATTAAATAGACAGATAGAGCATTTCTCTGCTAATTTTCTATCCTTAAAAATTGTTGCTCTTATCTGTATAGTTTTATAGAGATTTGTATTTTTATTTTGTATTATTGTTTTTTTTTTTTTTTGAGTATCTTGTTTTTGTTTTTTCCTCCCTCTCTGATGTAGAAATGGAAAAGTTTCGTAAATGATTACACATCTGGAGTCGCTGGCTGGTCCAGAGGCAAAACAACGCCACAGACTGAAAATCTGCAAAATACCAAAAAAAATAAATTGCACAAGAATTACAGGACAATTTCAGTTTGTTTGAGATTTGACAATGTAGTTTTTCTCATGCTAAAACTAACTGTAGACCAGGCTCCACAAGGTTTGAGCACCACCTGGAGGAGCTCAGAGAAAGTTACAAAGGCATTACAACTGATACATGGTTAATACTGAACCAAGACTTTTGCTCTAGGCTTTTGAACTTATTGTGCATCGAATATTGTTTGAGATCTTTTTGCTAAAGAGACTGCTAAGTTAACATTAATGCTAACTGCTAACTAAAGCTGAAACTATATATGTAAATGGTATTTCTCATTATGTTTTGGGGCAACGAAGATGTTAAAGGCAAAAACTTATTAAAACGTATTGGTGATTTTTAATGTATGCTTTCGAAAACATGCTACAATTTCAGCATATGTTTAAGTGTTTATTTAATAGCATTTAGTCTATTTTCCAATATAGATTTAGGCCTACGGGACCTATTGTAATTTCATAATTGATTTTTATAATTGATTTTTATAATGTCCTAACAATGTTTTATTTGCCAGAATTATTGTTCAGAGTTCTTGCTATTTTTATGCTGTACACAAGTTATCCTACTTTGTAAATATATGCAAATTTGCACATTTTTTTTTTTTGTTTACGTATAAAAATGCTTTCTTGAAAAATATAAATCTTTTGAAAAATCTTAAATCTTTTTTATGATCTACAGGACAGTTTTTTGTTTTTTTTTGGTTCATTATTCATCATGAACATCTAATAAATCATGAATTTAATTACTTAATTAACAGTTAGAGATTAAAGTTAGGGCAGTGGCTCTCACATTTTTCACACCAGAAAAAGAAACATACCAAGAAACAATTTGGCCTTCAGAGTATCACAAGGTCTAAATCAAGTCTATAAACAGGCCTCTCAGAGGTCTAATCCAGATTTAATCCAGGTCTAAAAGTGGACTACATCATTTCCACAGTATTCCTGAACAAGAAATGGTCAAAAGGAGGACATAAAAGTGGATGAAATGGACTCTAAATTAGGTAAACCCACAAACTGAAGAGCTTTCTAAGTACATCCTGAAGGAGCACGCGTCCCACAGTGAGAAACAATGAGTTATGGTGTTATGCTTGTTAAACTAAGCCTGTAAATCATGTCATATGCATTTCTGTCCTTGCATTTGGTCTATTATTTTGTTATGTGTTTTGTCATAATAAATAAAGCTTGCTTCATACAAAGGCTGAATTATGCTGCCACATGTCCAAAATATGAATGGAACGCTTTATGAGGACACATCACATTGTTTCTGTGCACTTAGCGCCACCTGGAAGTCATTTGGAGCTTGTGTTTGCATCTAGGTCAACAACACGTGGACATAGCATTGTTGGGAGTGCTGTAACTGTGGGCGTGGTTAAAGAATCTGTTTCATAACATAACCGAGAATCTGTATTACGTATATTCCACTTTAATTTGCCTTATTTTAATTAGAGTTTATCCATAATGACATTACTCATGACATCACAAGGTGGAAGAGGGCATTTTGAGCTTTGGAGGTGTAGACAGACTAATAAAAAGGTTACTCTAACGTGTGAATGAAACAAAACACAACTCCAGGTCTGTTTTTGATGAGGTAACAAAAAATATACCATGGCTTAAAGATCACGAAGAGTCAATTCCGTGTAATAAAAGACCTTTAATGAATGATTAAAGCTTTGTAACCTCAAATTAATCCCTTCTAACATTACTCTTTAATTAAGTAGTTACTAAACCTGAATCATTCTTTAACTATTTGTTGTATGTGAAGTTGTAGTTCTTATAAAGTCCTACAATTAACTCTGCTTCTTGTAACTATTGGCTACAAAGGCACAAGGTCAAAATTAAAATATCTATAAGTAAATAGGCCTTCATAATCCTATTCAATTTTCAACTTCTCCTGCTTATAATGAGCACTATGTTAACTTTTCAGCTTGTCTCCATGGCGATTATACTGCTTTGCCTGAAATGTTCCCCACAGTATGGCCTTTATCTTATCGATTGGGCATTTGCTTTTTATTCCAAAAAATACATACATTCAAAAACATGACTTCTTACTGTGAGCTAGGTCGCCTCTCCACAGATCTGACCTGTAACTTGGACTGGCGATCTCCATGGAGACAGCCAGGCAATACTAACAGGACATGTTACAGGTGAGATCGTTGGCAAGCAAGCAATGAAAAGACATGTAATTAGAATAAATGCAAGATAGATCAGTTTAATAATGCCATATTGTGTAACATTACAACGCAATAAAAATCTGAATAGAGATAAGCAGGTGACTGACCCCGCAGCATAGTTAAGAACAAATTTAATAAAGTAAAAAAATATAAAAAATCTGTTGAATGTCACATAATTTTATTCATTCCTTTGTCACAAAACACTCCCTGAATTGAAACCAAAATGGCTTTTTACACATTTGCAAAGAAATGGTTTTGTGAACATTTTCTATATAAAATACATTGTAGTGTTATATTTCTAAAAACGGTAGAAAACCCTGTTTGGACACAGTTTGAAAGGAAGCAGCTCTCACACACATTCGCACAAACAGGAAAGGAGTTCATTAAAATACAAGAAAAGTGAGCAACAAATGTCAAAACACTGGCCACTTTCTTAGGTACGTTTGTTCTAATGTTTCTAAATGGGACTATTGAATAAATTTAGCAAAGGAGGAACAAGAAAAATATTGTCCAGATATAATGAAGGCAGGGCTGAGTTTTAGTCCAGGTTAAGTAGCAAGAATGAGGGGGAAAAAAAAAAAAGAATAAAAAGGTGCATTCACACTTTCACATTTGGTACTAAACCAAGAGTAAACTCAAAACTAAACCAGAACTGGAACAGAAACAAACTAAGTCCAGATTAGGTATAGAATGTATTTAAGGTTTTTAGGACCAAATCATGACAACTGACCCTTAGACCTTGTTCAGTCCTTTTCAGTCCAGGTTTAATCACTCTTGACTTAGAAGAGGACCTAATAAAATGGCCAGCGAGCTTACATCTTTCGCCCTCACATTTATACAGCCTCTGTCAGCCACAGTCTAAAGGGATGGTGTTCCAATAAGATACAATTACACCAAGTGAACAAGTGAGGTTTTCGACCAGGTAGAAAACAATACTATGATTATATACAGCAATAAGCCCTTACATTATGACCATGTGAGCTAAAACAAGACAAGTCGGACTAATCAAACAGTCTTCAAGAGCTACATATCACCAAGACTAAACCAGGGCTAAACCAGGGCTAAATCAAGGCTAAACCAGGTCCAAACCAGGTCTACAGTACCTCTAACAGATAAATACTGACCATTGGGAACACCCCACAAGAGCTGCAGTTTTGGGAGATGCTCTGACCCAAGCGTGAAGACATAATTTACCAAACAAGCAAACATTCTCAAAGATATGCTATGTAACTGAGTGTGTGTCACCCTCTTGTCTTCACAGAGAGGTTATTGCGTTGCCTGAAATGCTCCACTGGATGGCAATAAACTTGTATAGCTATGTAATCAAGTAGGAGATGGCGTATGGTCAGGTCTGTGGAGAGGGAAGTCCACTCTCCAAGTAAGAATACATGTTTTCAATGTATTTTTGAGCAATAAAAACATAACTAAATGCAAATAGACAGGTTTAATGCTATGCTGTGGAACATTCCAGGCAAAGTGCTCATCTCCATGAGGACAAGCAGGTGTCGAATCCTCAAACAGAAAAATGACATAGTGCACCTTTCCGCTTCTAACAACTTTGATGACAAAAAATTCACTTGCTCCCCTATAAAAAGTAGTCACGATGGTCATAATATTTTGGCTGTTTGCTGTATAGTTAGATTTGTGTAGCACGATTGACATTTCCATTGTTGTTCATGAGTGAGCAAAGAATATATAGTCAAACATTAACAATAAAATTGAAATTTAAAATATTTAACAGAATAAAACATGAGCAGCAACTGTTTATTGAGTATCGGTCACAAAAAGTCAGCAAAACTTTACAACAACGTGCAAATCTCGCCGCATCTTGGCCAGCACAATCCTTTGTCTTCCAGTCATTTTATATACACAAGACTGGGATTGTCCACAGTGCTTCAAAATAAAAGCCACAAAACTTACCAAGAAAACCTTTACTTTGAAAAGACTTCCTTCACGGTAAGAGGATGTGGTCATTTTAAATAGCATTTAGAGGTATGGTATTCATGGTCCCAAAAAGGCAGTCGATTCTGATAAATAGTCTCTGAATGGCCGGCCTTTCTCTGTTAAAACATTTTTATTATGTCACATGTTCAGAAGTGGGACACTGTGCGCATGAAAAAGACAGATTTCTGGTATAAAGCTGAGTGGATGATTGGTTGGAGATTCATGTGTCCTCGGAGGAGTCCTGGATGAGGGGGGCGGGTTGGGAGGAAGTGTCCAGGACGGAGGAGCTGTCTGGGGCCATGACGTGAGGTGAGAGGGGGGGTCCTGGAGCAGCGCTGGAGTTACAACTTACACAGCCCTGGGAGAGAAGAAGGAGGTTAGATCAAATATAGTGCTCATGAAGTCAGTTGGTTCTAGTTTAGGCTGGTTAAACAGATATAGACCTGGGGTAGTACAGAATAAGGTTCACACTCACTTGTTTTAGCCCGACATTCAACAAGACATTTAGTGATGGTGCATTCATAAATTGTCTAGTATGAATGTAGTTCATTAGTGAGCTGGGTTAGATCAGGCCTAGTCCTTATAGAGTCCAAGTTTAGTATCGTCTAATCATGCACAAAATTTCCCAAATTACATGTTTTTCCATTTTTGTTTTTTCTTAAAAAAATGCAAAGTAAGCAAAATGGTGTTACTTGAAAATGATGTGTCAATCTTGCTGCAGTTAATGGTTAAGAGTCGATTCATCCTGGTCCTGATCTAGTCCTGCTTTCATTATTGGTCCAGTTTCTGACCTGTGCGTAGGGTCCTTGTTCAGTTCTGGCCTAGTCCCAGTTTCAGTACCAGCATAGTACTGGATCAATTCCAGTATAGTTCCAGTCGCAGTCTCATGTCTTTGGCCATATCCTGCTGTATGGTCCTGATAGAATCCAATTCTAGTCCTGGTCCAATTCTCACCTGTATGTCCATCTCCCGAGGTAGTGTCCTAGTTCAGTCCTGGTCCAGTCTCAGTATTAACCTGCTCCAGGCTTGGTTTAGTCCTGGTCCAGGTCTCGTCTCACCTGTGTGTCTATCTCCTGGGGTATGGTCTGCTGTTGGATCCATGGATGCACCTCAGCGAGCTCCTCTCGTTGCTCTTGACTGAACCAGGGCTGAAGTGGCTGCAGTGCCCTCAACTTCTCCCGGTCCTCTGCCAAAACCTCATTCTGGTCCCTGTATTTAAAAACATATAGAGTACGTTACATTTCATGAAATTGCACTTCTTGAAGTCAGTCTAATTAATCCCATGATTATGTTGACAACACTTTACTAGCACTGTTCCTTAACATGTTTTTTTTTTTGTTTGTCTGTGATTTATCCATTGAAAGACTACATATAATGTACAACATCTGGGATGTTATCATGAAGTAATCTCTTGATTTTTAACAAGTGTTTTCACTGAAATATAAAATTTACTGATACACCATCATTAATGTAATATTCTGCCATTGAGCGCCACAGAAAACATCTGAACTACAAAAGATTAATTCTTAGTGGCTCAAGACAGTTCTGTTGAAAATGGCTTCTGGATGGGAGCCGAAACATTGATCACAAAAAACAGTCTAGATTACCACTGATGAAGCATTCTCAAAACTAAAACAACCGCTGCTGCAATGCGTAAAGTAAGGTGTAAGGTGCATGTCTGGTAGATTTGAAGGCTACTGTATATTCTGACCTGGTGTGTATCTGGTATGTCATCATGACGTGTTCAGGCGTGTGTTGGATCATGCTCCACAGAGAGTTCTCCACGCGGGACTCAAACCCATGAGGGTCTGGTGGAGCATCCTGGCTCTTTCGCACTTTTCGAGAAGTGTCCGAAGAGTCGTTACTGGCAAAGTACTTACTACTGTTACTGCTGCCTGAGAACGAGAAGAAGACAAAATGGTGAGAAATAATTGAATGCTAATGGAAAGTTGATACAGATTCAGCACAACATGAAAACGTTATTGAACTTTGGATAAAATCTTCAGTAAAAAAGTGAGGAATGGTAAAGATCAATCAATCCTCACTATACAAACCAGCTTATTATCATAGAAAAAAGTACAGATACTGCTCTAAAATTCTACTTTAAATTGAATGTTCTACATTGTTGTTTTCTTTTACTAAAGTACTAGTTAACTTTTATGGAATTTTAGATCAGTCTTTTGTAAAATAAATACATTAATTAACTTAATTAAAATTTTAAAAGCTAAAAATGACATTTTAAAATCATACACTCTCAAATCTGGACAATCAAAGCCGGGGAAATAGTGTTTTGGATCTCAGATGTACTCTGTAATAGCTACATTTAAAAACCTACAAGTTACCATTACATGGCTAGAATAATCCTCAATTACAAGTAAAGGTTTAAAACAGTTACCTCAGAAATCAAATCAATGAGAGTAACATGAGTATTAGTACCAGTGTGTGAGGTAGAGGTGCCGTTAGAGCCGCTCCCGGACCCAGAGCCTAGGGAACCTCCAGACTCTCCCGATCCAGAGCCCGAGGCATTGGAGCCAGTGCCAGAGCGAGCGTCCTCCTGGAGCAGCAGGTCTAACAGCTCCGAGGAAGTGGACTGAGCGTCATGGTTACCAGAGTCACTCGGACCATCGCCCTGGAAACACATACAGGTGTGAATGATTTTTATTTGATCACAAACACACCTTTAAATCCCTGGTGCATATATACTGTAGGTGTGCAATCGTGATATCTCGATAGACATAGATATAAATAGAGAGAACACAATTTTGAATATTGGACAATGGGCAAATTGTTCATTTTAAATGGTTTGCAGTGGTCCAACATTTTTCTTGATTTTGTTGAGATTGCTAGTGCATTCCTATTAACAATTATTCACAATGAGTTTATAGCGAGCTTTTCACAACGCTCAACCTTATTGTGACTGTAAACTCCCTGCTTCTTATAGTTAGACTAGACTGAAGCAAGGTTGGTGCATCATTTGCTTGGTTTGGAGGTTAAAAAGCTAGAAGGCAGGCAGCACACAGCTGTCTTTTTGACCCCAAGAGCTGTGTCATTAAATGCACTACATCTCGTCACAGCAGAAGTTCCTTCCCACAGGCCATGATCACTTTAAACCACAGCACACACTTTATAAAGTGCTTACTGCAGTATTACTGTATACATTTCACTAAATAATGTTTTAATGGTGTGACTGGATTTGAATGGATGAATGAATGCTGTGCACTCTGAGGTTCCCACACCCTTTTTACAAGGTGTTTTTTTTATACTGCAAATAAACTGAATTGAATCCTGTGTCATATAAAGAGTTTATAGTGCCTCTGACCTGGTTGTTGATCTGCTCGTGGAGGCTCTCACTGAGCTGGTTGGAATTCGGCCTCTCGTTGGGTTTGGGCAGCTCCTCCTGCAGAAGGTTAAGCTGAAGAGGAGAACTGGACCTGGAGCTGGAGAAGAGAGGTCTGGGCCCTGTAGTCTCTTCCTCCTCTCCCACAGAGGAGCCCGCTCTGGGGGAACAGAGCAGCGGCACCTTGGAGAGGAACGTAAGAGGGCGGAGAGGGTGTCATGATTAACCAAATATTAATGGTTTTATATTTAAAGCACATTTTCACATTGTACTTATTTAGGAAAACATTTTAATGTGTACGTACCTAGAGTTTCTAAGTTATTGCAACATTTAGCAGAACTTTAATTTTAGAAACTTGGTGGTTTATAAAGTTATAGGTATTGTGACCATTAGTTACCACATATAGCAATTTTTCACCAATAAAAACAATAGTAATATCACATTACATTTCTAACCCTATAGTTTAAAAATATATACTTACACAAGGCTGATTAGCCCCTAGCAAGCTTTCAAACATTTATTATCCTATTCATGAAAGTGGGCAATCAGTCAATCACTTGCCTCATAATATTGGTAGTAAGTAATTGTAATTAGTAATGTAATGTGAATGTACACTTGTCCATTTTTATTTGACTTCCATACCTGCGGTGGAGCCTGGTTCGGTCCTCCCTGATTCTGGAAGAGTGGAGGTTGAGAGAAGGGCACTGATGCTGGGTTGAAACCTGTCATGGTGAGGGGGGCCTGAGGCAGCATGGAGGGGGCGGACATGGGGTATATGGAGGGGTATCCTGGGGTAAACGTGGGGTAATTGGGGAGCAGAACAGCCATGACAGGTGCTACATAAGGGTTAATACTCTGAGCAGGAGCAATTGGTTGAATATTGCTGAAATTTGGGTGAATATTTGGGATTGTATCCATTTGAATCGGCATATTCGGAGTCTGCATAACATTGAAATTGTAGTTCATTTGACTTTGCTCTGGTTGAAAGACTGTAGGAGTGGGTAAAGTTGTAGTTTGATGTTGCTGCACGTTTTGTGGTCGAATATTTTGTTCCGTGGGACCTGTAGGTTGGTGCGACATTAAAGGAAAGAATGGGGGTTGTAGTTGTGTGGTGTGGCCAAAGGGGGGGACCATCTGCGGTTGTGAGGATTCAGAGGACGGCCAGGAGGAGTCAGGGAGGCGACGTGGAGGTCCGGCAGGAGAGGCGTAACTGTCAGAAGACCCCTGAGGTTTGGGACGCTTGTGACGGGGCTTCCCTCTTCGAGAGCGGTTCAACCCTCCAGCACTGAATGGTCGGAGGTAGTCCCCTGGGAAAAATGTTTTAATATTGTTAAAAATTGTGGAGTTTGGTCTCGGGACTTCCGGTTGGCAGCGGAGCAACATGGCTGACTAATTCCTGAGCTCCTCAGGGCAGAGCAGTTTTCCCCCTTAAATTCAAGTTCGACGGTTACTAATATCTTTGAAAGCATGCGCGGGGGGACCAAGAAAAAGGTAAAAATGCGTGCACCTAAAGAACAGTCAAACTCGGAGGAACAAGACGAGGCACATGCTAACACGGATGAAGATGACGAGGCAACCGAGACAGAGTCACTTCACGAGGGCATTAAAAATATCAGCAAACAGATCAGGGACCTCCGCACAGATCTGAAAGCAGACTTTAACAAATTCAAAGATAATTTCAGACGCGAGTTGAAAGAAGACCTTAACAAACTAAAAGAAGAAACTAACCAGCAGCTAACGGCTAACAAGCTAGCGGTGCAGAACCACGACAAGCGTCTGGACGAAGTTGAGAATCGAGTACAGGGGCTTGAAACTTGGGCTGCGACGGCTTACAGCGCTCTCAGACAGTCCATAGAGGAGCAGAAAAAGCTAACAGATAAGCTAGAGGACTCCCTATCGAGGGCAAGGAGAACCAACATGCGCATATACGGCGAAGTGACAGCGGAGCCATCCAACGAGTGCGCGACCGACTTCAAGAGTTTCAACATAGACCGGTGTAGCTCCATACACCGGAACTATAGGTACTGTCCGTCTCTAAATAGACCCAATTATTTCCTCAAGTTACTGTTCATTCTTTGTTTAATTGCTCTGCATTGGGGTTGCTAATAACGCACACTGGAATGAGTGAAGCTCAATTTGAGTTATTCGCTGATTCTAGTAGGGGGCCCTCCATAAATGCGAGGCTTTCCCCCTCATATGTTTTTGGGAACTAAACCTGAAATCATAGGGAAAATTCTTAAAGAATATTATCAGAGGCTCTATTCACAAGAAGGGACAGTAGATAAACAGTTGATCAGAGATTTCTTATATTCACTAGACCTGCCCAGTATCGGGGAGATCCAAAACAAAATGATAACCAAAGAAATCACAATGGAGGAATTGAATAAGGCCATTGGAAGACTGAAGGCCAACAAAACTCCAGGTGGGGACGGGTTTCCAGCGGAATGGTACCGAAAATTTTGTGAAAAACTAAACCCAATATTAAGATCTCTTAACTGGACATTAAAGGAGGGACAGGTTCCCCCATCCTGGAATGATGCGATTGAATCTTTAATACCTAAGGCTGGGAAGGACAGAGAGAAGTGCTCCAATTTTAGGCCAATTTCAATTTTAAATATAGATTACAAATTATATACCTCAATTATTGCCAGAAGGTTAGAATCATTCATTACAGAGTTGATTGATGAGGATCAATGTGGATTCATGCCGGGTAGACAAACCCAAGACAATATTAGGAGAACACTCCATATACTCCATAAAATACAAAGCAGTAATCTTAGCGCGGCCCTCATAAGTTTGGACGCGGAAAAGGCCTTCGATAGGGTGGGATGGGAATTCTTATACCAGACGTTAGAAAGATTTGGGTTTTACCAAAACTCTATAAAAATCATTAAGACAATTTATCAAGGTCCTACAGCTAGAATAAAAGTAAATGGATCTCTGTCAGACCGCTTCTGCCTTAGTAGAGGAACCAGGGTGGGTTAAGCCCCACCCTCTTCGCTCTGTACATTGAGCCATTAGCTCAGGCAATTCGGCAAGAGGATGGAATAAAAGGTATACTCATTCAGGAAAATGAACACAAAATTAGCCTGTTTGCTGACGATGTCATGTTATACATGAGAGACCTGGACAATTCTCTCCCAAAGCTTTTGGAAGTAATAAGAAAAATCCATGAATGTTCTGGATACAAGTTGAACATCGATAAGACTCAACTGATCAAATTCAATTACTCACCTAGTGAGGAAATTCAAAAGGAATTTAATGTTAATTGGAGAACAAAATCTATAAAATATCTGGGTGTGAATATTCCAAAATGACCCGAGTCACTCTCCAAAATAAATTATGACCCTCTGACTGACACTATCAGAAACGACTTGGGCAGATGGTCAATTTACCCACTAGATTTTAGTAGCAGGATAAGCGTAATTAAAATGAATATACTCCCTAGGTTACTATACTTATACTTATAAATCCCTCCCAATAGAAATTCATGCTCAGCAATTTGCAGTTTGGGATAAAATGGTTTCAAGATTCATATGGGGTGGAAAAAAAGCAAGAATACGTTTTTCCACTTTGCAGCTGCCCAAAAATAGAGGTGGAATGGCTCTGCCAAACTTAAAACTATATTTTCAAGCTGCACAAGTGCGCCCTCTAGTTCGCTGGTGTGATAATTCATACTCTGCGGGGTGGAAGAACATTGAGACCAACATACAGGGCTATGCTGTCCAAACTTTGCTAGGAGAGAACAGTATACCTGACACAATTAAAACTAAACTTAACCCGGTAACCATATTTTCTTTGGAAATGTGGTTCTCTCTAATGAAACAATTAGACCTAAAGAATAGTCAGAGGATGTTGAGATGGATAGCCCTAGACAAGGACTTTAGGCCCGGGATATATGACTCTGTTTTCAAACAATGGATGGCCAGAGGTTTAACAGCTCTTTGCCTGATTATCAAAAATGAGGAGGTAAAGAGCTTTCAGGAGTTGAAAAAATCATTTAATCTAAACAATCAGGACTTCTTCAGATACCTACAATTAAGGCATTATTACAACACAGAGATTAAGAAGAGGTCTTTGGGCAAGGTCAATCCAGTTATTGAAATAATGTGTGGTGCCCATCATAATAAAAACAGTAAGATTGTGTCAAAACTTTATGATGGTTTGATGGAGAATCTGAATGTGTCTTCACTATATGTGAAAACAAAGTGGGAACAGGAGTTAAGAATATTGATTACAGAAGATCATTGGTATCAAATGTGTAAATCACTCCAAATTTGTACAAGTTCACAGCAGTGGCGGGAATTTAATTGGAAATGCTTGATAAGATTCTTCATCACACCCCATATTAAAAGTAAACATCTTGGAATCCAACAGGCTTGTTGGAGGAACTGTGGTCACTTGGATGCAAACCACTCACACATCTTTTGGACTTGCCCGAAGATCCAAGTCTTCTGGTTGGAAATCAACAAACTGCTTCAAAAAGTCCTGGGATACAACATTCCCAACAAATGCACTGCTATGTACTTGGGAGACATGGCAGATTATGTACAAAAGGAGGACGTTTATCTAACAAAGATTTTATTGACGGCAGCTAGAAAGGCCATTACAAAACTTTGGCTTAACCCGGTTGCTCCAAATCAACGACAATGGATAAACATTGTAGAGAATATTCACCTCATGGAAAAGTTAACTCATAACATCAGATTGAAGGCCACTAAATTTAAGAAGCTCTGGGGGAAGTGGATTTCATTTAGGAGCTATGGAATTTGAATAATCTTTTATGACACTGAAATTATAATGTTGGTCAATGCATATTTTTCTTTGCACTGGTAATACTCCTCCCAATACCTCATGTTCTCTATTGTTTTATGTTGTTACCTTTTCTTTTCTTTTTTTTTTTATATTTTCTATTAAGCAAATAAAAATAAAGTTGCAAAAAAAAAAAAAAATTGTGGAGTTTGTAAGTTTTGAGTCAGTTTTAAGTATGCCAAAAACCCCTCCTATGCCCTAAAACAAAGTAACAAAGCTGGACCTAATGAGCTGGCCAAACAGAACAAAAGGATGCGACACCAGGCCGACCCAGTATAGGGCCGTAGAAACCAGTGCTGACATTAACCTAAAAGGAAAAACATCTCCATATTAACAGTACCAAAGAAAAAGGCAAACACACATTCAGATTCCCTGATTTCTCAAAATGACTTTCTAACACCCACTCTTCATATTGGTCTGACTCTGTCATGTCATGTCTCAAGTTACCATATTTTCCACACTATTGGGCACTCTGGATTATAAGGCGCACTGTTACTGAATGGTCTATTTTCAAACTTGTTTCAGAAATAAACAGCACCCGACTTTAAACGAAACACAACAGTTAGATGGGTCAGTGGGACTTTGTTTGGCACGTTCATGGTGACTCTGGGCTTTGCTCAGTTGTGGCGTGTAGGGAGGGTGGAGTCTGGGACCGTTGGATTGTTGGCGTGTTCGCAATGACTCAGTTGTTCAGTTGTGGCTAGAAGTGGCACATTGCACTCGCTTTTTCGGTTGGTTCCTCCGTTCCATTCCTCGTCGGCGTGGAGTGATGAGTGTGGCTGTGAGTGTGTTTCGCTGTGTGGTCGCTGTCTGCTCTGTGCGTGTTTGCGTGCGCTGCGGGTGGTGTCGCAGTCGTTTTTTGATGGGATTGGAGACTTAAGAGCGCGCCCAATCACTCACTTAGAAGCCACTTAAAAGATTTTTTTAAATATGTCAGATGGTATAGTTGTAGCTGCAACACATTACATGTGCAGCTTGCCAACAGAAAAATCCCACACACTCACAAAATGTGAATAAAAATACTCAAGTTATAGAATTTATCTCTACCCATATCATCAATATGCAAAATTTCAGTAGTCAATTTTAGAAGTCAGCTCTACTTTGTCAGCTTTCTTCTCCACAAACTGCCACTTAACTGATGTAGAACTATGATGCATATTTAGCACAGGTACTACCCACCAAACCAAGGAATAATTAGAAAAACATGTTTTAAAATCTTTTAGTATAATATAGTACAGTATAATATACGACTTAATACCTGGATGGTGTGAATGAGCCATGGAACTGTTGTCCAGTTGCAGATAGGAGCTGTATGGACTCTGTAGGATCCTGTGTTTGAATCTATCCACATACTCCTGCTCCTCCTTCTGTGTGTGAGCCGACAGCACCTCTTTGGTCAGACCCACAAACCGGCGCTCCTCCGTGGCCGTAGAGGGAGCGGGGCGTGTGGGGGGTGGGGCTGTTTCAGTTGGCTCACTGCCCATTGGTGCATCCTCCAATGCTGTGGCTTCTGTGGGGGGAGCCAGAGCAAACAAGTGTTACACCTATGGATGTAATGATGTCCAATTTTCATAGTATCATCACAATTACAATATTTTGGACAGGCTAACAGAATTGTAAATCTGCTTTGTTTATGACCGTAATAATTAACGCCAAATGACCAACATTAAAGCAGCACTGTGGTTGGCTGCGCTTGTACAGTCCACCCCAGTTTCACTTCACCACCTGAAAATTTTGTGCAATAAAAGGACATTTTAATTTCTCTGTTTTAGAACAAAACAGATTCTTGTGAGCTTTAAACCATGTTACAATGCTGCCTTCTCTTCAAAAATACAAATATAAAAACACACATCTGAGTAACCTTTTATTATTTATCTTCATCTCCAAACCCCAAAATGCTCTGTTCCACCTTGTGATGTCATGACGCGGTAGTTTAAGTTATCAAATACCTTTTACGTTTTGTTTAGTGGAGATTGTCAATTTCAACCTTGGAATTTCCAAAATGATTCTAGTGAAGGTCTATAGTTTCAAAACACAGTAAAGCACTTCCTGTATTACCACATGGCATCACAAGGTGGTTCAGGGAGTTCTGTCTGAGAGAAAAAGTCATGTTTAACACATAAATCACACAAATTTTTAGCCTGTGTAAATGAAACAAAATAAATTCCAGGTATGTTTTTGATGAGGAAACATAACATAGATCTGAAAATTGTATTATATGGACTCTTTAATGTATCTGGATATTAGTCAAATAATTTGTGAGAGCAACAGATGAGTGAGATTTAAATAACTACTTCATCTGCTGTTGTCTATACTTAAATGGTCCTCTTGTTTTTTTAGCTGTTGCTCCAAGTAAAGCACTTCTTGTGGGGCATAGGTGTGGATTTTTACACATACATTTGTTAGTGAACTCACACTACAAACAATAGCATAAAATTTTCTTCACATATGTTAATGTATGACCTAGTGGTTCGGTAGTGATGACAAATTCTATCACATGGCTTGGCCAACAAATCAGGAATTTCTAAGCATTAACAGATACCAATATTTAAGTTTTAATTCCACAGCAAGGGCCACACATTTTTATCAATTTGTGATCTTTTCACTTTTGTAAACGTAACAAAAACAAAATTTATAAAATAATTTGTTACATGTATGTGTAAACATAGGCAAATAAGAAAAAGGGCCATCCCTAGAAAAAATACATACCGAAATGAGACCCATTTTGTATGTTAAAGTTGATTAAAAAAAATGTACTGTGTTAAATTAAATCGGAATATAAGATGACAGGGAACCAATACATGATCTATTACATTTTCCAGTATGGACCCGGTATCCACACCGACAGTACTGACCTGACTCTGGCTGGGGTACATGTACTATGGTGCTGCTGTAGGAACATTGACTGGTCACGGACACCACACTCATGGCTTTAGTGGAGAGAGATGAGAGATTTGTGAGAGGAGCACCCACTACTGCTGCGGCGGAGGGAGTGACCGAAACAGCAGAGTCCAGGACCACTGAGGGAGGGGGGGGACAAAGAAGGGAAGAGATTTATGAAAATACAAGTCAAATCCTTCTATTACAAATATTGTTTAAAAAAAATATAGTACTATTAGTACTTGCTTTCCGGTATTAAAGCGCATTTGAAAGTAAATCTTAAGGCTGTACCTTCTTTTGTGTTCTATTTTATTTTGCTTCATTACAGATATAATATAAAAGCAGCTCTAATGATAAAAGTAAGGCCACTGGTTGTTGTCTGCATTTAATAATGAAGTGCACCGTTAGCATGCTTATGTTTGTTAGCATTATTGTGATGACAAAACTCCACTGTGGCTTCTAGAAGTTTAGAAAACTGCTTATAAACTAATCATAAATAACTAAGATGTTACGGGTTTATATTTTTAAGAAGAAAATAAAAAGGTACAGCACCTTTAACTATATATTTCAGTCACATACCTAAGTAAGGGCAAGACACTGTAGTCACAGCTGCTGTGGGGCAAACTGACAGACACATGTCTTCTCTCCAGTGTGAATTAATTAATCACACTGAGTGTAGGTGGTCGAAGAGTGGTCAGCAGGGGCTCTGCTATTAAATTTGCCACATGTGTTCAAAATGGCACCTTTTAACTAGAAACTGACAGTTGTGACATAGTTCTTTTACCATCAGAGGCGGCCTGAGCAGCGTCAGCAGTTCCTGTAGGTTTATCATCTTCTGAAGTAGAGGACGACGAAGAGCCTAAAGAATTTGATTCATTCTTTCTTTTCAGTGCAGACCCAGTACAGCTCTCCAGATACCTACAGACAGGACAGTAACATCAATTTTAGAGAAAAGGATGCAGGGGGTGCAGAGGAGTAGGTCAGATGGAGCAGAGGGTGCAGAAGAGAGGGACATACAGAGCAGAGGGTGCAGAGGAGAGGGACATACAGAGCAGAGGGTGCAGAGGAGAGGGACATACAGAGCAGAGGGTGCAGAGGACAGGGTTAGACAGAGCAGAGGGCGCAGAGGAGAGGGTTAGACAGAGCAGAGGGCGCAGAGGAGAGGGTTAGACAGAGCAGAGGGCGCAGAGGAGAGGGTTAGACAGAGCAGAGGGTGCAGAGGAGAGGGTTAGACGGAGCAGAGGAGGATATTGACCTTATGATGTTGTCCACACAGTTGATTTGTTGGTAGGAGGGGATGTGGGCCTGTTTCCTTCCCTCCTCTGGATCTCGAACCTCAGCGTTTGATGTAGCAGGAGGCAGATTTGCTGCTATTATAATATTATAATATAATATTATAATAAAATAGATACATATAAATATGAAATAAATATAATATATATATTATATATCATATTATTAAAATATATTATAAAATAAATATAATATATTATAATTAGGGCCGGGCATGCTAATGCGTTAATTTAGCATTAACAAATTAATTATCGCCGACAACTGTCATCTCAAACTTTGTTCCGGCCACCGAAGGTCCTGCAGGTGTTTCTTTAGTTCAGTGCTGCAGGGGGAGTCACTGATTTACCCAGATACCACTGGAAGAAAAATTGTGACTGGGCCATTTCCATTCCATTATATTAACCCTTTGTTTCCCAAGAAATATTAGTCCAAGTTTATAACAATGATCTAGAAATTATTAGTAGTATAGTGTTTATTACTCACTGCATAAAAAATATTGAAAAAATGTATTAGTATTACAAAAATTCATTCAGTATTTTTTCTTGAGCCTTCACTGAATACCTTGAAGGCCCTGAGAGTTCCCCTCTGAAAGAAATGCTGTTTGCACAACAAATGTGTGGCTCTTTCGTTTACATTTGAAAAAAGTGCGCTATATGCCACTTTTTAATTCATTAATTGGTTTTGCATATAACATGTGATTAATCGCAATTAATCACACTCGAACTCATGCAATTAATTTTAAAAATTTTTGCCCAGCCCTAATTATAATAAAATTATAATTAAAAATATTATATTACTGAGTCAAAACCAGGTTTAGTCCTTGTTTAAATCTGGAGTTCGTTTCTGGTTACGCTTTACATCGGTCCCAAGTCAAAAGAAAGTTAGAGTTGAAGATACTTTTGCTTTAATAATATTAAAAATCTGATTAATTTATATTAATATCTGACTACATGTACATGCTCTTGCCATCTGCACTTTACTGTATAATGAGTTACCTAGAGTGAATTTCCCAACGGAGATAAAAATTTTAAACTCAATGTCACATCTTTGGATAGATGGTTCTTAATTGTAGTCTAGCCCTTGTTTAATTAGTCCTTTCCTTTTGTTTGTGTTAAGAAGCAAGACCAAAATGAACTTTTGATGAAAGAACAGTCTGTATGTTTAATACCTGTGGCTGGTTTCCCAAGAACTGTGACTTTATGGGTGGAGTCGAAATAAGCCTGCTGCCCCCAGCTCTTCACCCGGTTCACATCTGCACACAGCTGCTGCAGCGTCATCTACAAGACACAGAAGGTTAAAGCCTTAAAAATATTTATTTGAAATGCACAGTTGGAAATTAAGTGTTTCTACTGTAATTGTTGGCTTGAAAAGAACGGGGAGACACTGAGCAACTTTTTTTTCTCCACTCTGAATGCGATGAATTGCATGATTATTTCAGATGAAGCCATCATTAAAACCTACTACTGAAAAGGCACAAATTATTTTTAATATTATATTATATTATTATTATTATTATTATTATTATTATAAGACTCTTAATCTTTGCAGAAGGGACAAAAATATACAAATCTGATCAACTATTTTGAGTGTACTTTCTGTAACAGTCTCACCGGCTCCCTGTGAGAGTCCTCCCACAGGTTTCCATTGCTGTCGCTGGAAGACGCCACACTGATGTAATGTTCATGAGAGCCGTTACTGCCCAGACTCCCGTACCCACTCGAGCCGTTATTGTGCACAGGCTAAGCAGGAAAGAGGCAGATGGTATTTTAAAGAATATTCAGAAAAAACATGGTAAGAAGAGATGTTGTAACAATGTAAATTTAAGTAATACATTTATGCAAGAGATGAACTTGTCTTGTATTTAATAAAAAAATATAAGAAAATTCAAAGTATCAATCCATTTACCTATTCCAATTTTGCACTGATTAAAACAGAAAAAAAAAAAAAAATCAAAAATATATATATATATATATATTTAATTATCTTTTTAAATACTTTGCGACAAGAAAGATGGTATTAAAAACTTTGGAAATAAGATGTGCTTAATGTAATCTGTAGAATTCTCATTCCATTTAAATAAACTTTAAACTGCAACTCTTGTGTAAACTGATATTTGTCTTTGTGTATCTAAAAATAAATATTACCTGTAGAAAGAGTTTGTAGATCTTGGCCTGCAGATCTTTGATTTCTTCATAAGGGACCAGATCATCATTTGTACGGGCAGCAAACACATCCTCATTCAGGGGACTCCTACAATTTAGAAAAAAAGCCTTTAATAAAAAACAAAACAAAATGCAACATATTATACACAGTCAGTGAGGCATAAACTACCAATTTTTCTGGTTAGAACTTAAAAAAAAAAAGATGCACTACGCATACCATGCTTTTCTAAACAAAGCTTGGCATTGTGTGTTAATATAAACATTTATATGTTATTTATATGTTTATAGTATAGCATGTTTAGTACAGTAAAATTGCATTGCAGTTGAAGAATTCTTGAAAAATTGACAATAAGACCTTTTACAATTTTTCAAGAGTTCCTTAAATGGTACCATACAAAACTCAAATTTACCAAACAACCAGAACAGGGCAGTCCTGATATTTTTCACTTTATTATAGTAAAAAAAAAAAGATGGATTCTCGCAATATTTTTGAGGTCACAAACTTATGAAAATCTATCTGGGCGAAGTACTCCAACGAATGAAAACAAACATGGCAATGCAGACAGACACATTTCAGCCAAATTTTGTCAATTTCTTTTGTATGAAAAACATGCAGACGGTAGAGATGCGCGGATTGCGGTTACAACCACGGTATCCGCGGTTAATCCGCGGGTCGGGCGGATGACGTGACGAAAAATTATATTTTAATTAAATTCGGGCGGGTGGCGGTTTAACTAGTTAAAAAAAAAAAAAAAAAAAAAAAAGTTATTGTTAGTATTGTTGCCTACATCTGAAAAGACGAGTCTCATTGTCTATGCTTGTAGTATGAAGTGTACGTCATATCCTTAATTAGCCCATTTGACCTCGTTTTTATGTTCTGAAGGTTAAGGTTGTGTCGGGTTATTGATAGCCTAAGGTTTACGAGGCACATATTATATGCAGTTTATTTTATTATTTCTAATTTATTTCAGCTGTTTGCCAACACATAAGTGGCTATAGGGCCATATTTATTTAGTTATGCATATTTTTTCTTGCCTATTTCAATTGGCATATAAAGAGGGCATTTCCTGATTTCAATAAAGGTTCATCTGGATGAGATGATCTGTCCATTTTGTTTCGATATCAGTTATATTTTAAAACACGCAGACATTATAGCGCAGACTGCCACTCGGGGTTTTTAAAACTTAAAGAAAGACCGATGGAGTGAGGCTATGACTTTGAAATAACATCGTGCAATGGCAGAATGTTCAGAATGTAACAACATCCAACACGAAGGCAAGAAGGTTCAAAAATAGCCTAGTCGGAAAACGTTGTCAATTAATTAGCTGTGCAAGAAAACCAGGTAAGTTTGGGGTTGTTACGGACAATTAAGAATGCAAACATACACGCTGAGCGAATTCTGGAATGAATGAGCTACAGAGTTTGCATTTTTATCGAGGCTCCTTAGTTTGTTTGCTGTATGATTGTTCTAAAATCTAAAATCAAACGGCGGATGGCGGGCGGGTGCGGTTTTGAAAACCTTCGGTGCAAAATGGACAGCGGGCGGATGATGAGTTTTGTGTCGCGGTTGCGGATGAAAAAACAGCCCATCTGCGCATCTCTAGCAGACGGTAAGCAGCTGTGAAGGGAAAGATGTCTGCTTTTCTCTCAACTGGATATAACAAACGTTTGAATCCGATTAAAGTGCCTCAACAGCAGAACAAGCTGAAAAATTAAATAGTCATCATGATGCTCTGTGTTTTCAGATCGCCTTCAGTGAGAGCCGTTCCAGACTGAATTGTGTTCTACACATTAGAGTGACACACATTAATCTGGCAGGAGCCAGGTTAATAGTAAATTGGGGTGAAAACATAACATACTAAAGCATCAACAGTTAGGTTTTTGCAAAAGCAAAAAGTGAAAGGAATTGAAAACATTGATGAGGTGCTTACGTTCGGACTTTGTGGCGCCCGATGATGAAGGCAACCTTACGGCTCCAGGGATTGATGAAGCTGGACCAGCTGGTGTCCAGGGTCACATAGTCTCCATTCTGACAGCGCAGACGCATAGGGGAGTGCTCAAAGGGAGGCTGCCCTGCATACTTCAGCACTGTGCACAGGAGACAAGGGTTTAGCCAGGTTTTACCATTATGGGAATTTTAAGAGCAACATCTCACTTCCTGATTTAGAGTATAAAAACTTTTATGATTTCGATTCATACAGCACACATTTAACCAAGAGCCACATTTTACAACATATCTGCAATGAGCAAAAACTAGTTGTGCACAACTACATGTGGGGGGAAAAAAAAATCTCTTATTAAGGATATTTCTCTTATTTTTTGTGCTTGTACCTTTTCGGTGCATAGACAGCATGAGTGGGCGGTCATCTGGGTGGATAGAGGTGAGCAGAGAGGTCCCGATCAGATCCTGAGGCAGGTAACCCAACAACGGCACCGCTCTGAAACCAGAAATTAAAATTATTAACTAATGAACTATAAATATCAAACCATTCAAGTACTAATGTAGAACTGACCGATCATCCACTTCCAGGAACACACAGCCAGGGGAGTGAGTGGTGGTGAAGATTCTCTTGTCCATTGGGATACGAGGAGCTGAAAAACATTTAGATTGAATAAATGACAGTGCCACTTTGACTCAAAATCATGTAACTTTATTGTGGAAGGTGTGCCACAAGCTTGTCTCAGAAGGGATGTAATTACTTTTGTCTGGAATGTTATGGTATTAAACAAGCTTTCTTTACATGAGCAGAGTCGCCTCTGCACTAGCCTGTAATTTGGCCTGATCTCCATGGAGAAAAGTTGACGCTACCTTTATCTATCTATCCTGCATTTTAAAATGTTAATATATTTTAATGGCACTGATTACAGGCAAAGCATGTCCATGAACAAGCAGAGTTGCTCAGTCTCACCTTCATATCCAGAGATGATTCTTTCGGCCAGAGCCAAACAGCAGGGCTCCTCCTCCTCCGCCCCAGTCCCCTGCACCTTCAGCAGATACGGAGTGATCCTGAATGGGTTGTACCGCATCTCGCCTTCGCGATCCTTCCCTCCTCTAGAACAAACAAATATAAACAAAGCATAGTTTGGCCATGATCCTTTGAATCTTTTTTTCAAATGTAGTTCTGGTTTTGTAAGAGCATTTTTTTTGGCAGATTACTTAAACAACTGGGATTGTTAAGTGGCCACAGTGTTTGTGTTTCCCATTCATTAAGGACACTACGGTGGTCTCCAAATCATATCCAAATCATGTTACCATTTTTCAGATAAAGAACTGCACTATGACAAGAATGAGAATTTGTATTTAATACCAGATCATAATGGGGAAAAATACATCAATAATGTATGTCTGAAAACTAGTGCAAGACCTGACATGCGGTAATTTTTATATTTTAAAAACTTTAAAAACATCTTTAAAATGACGATTTATTGAAGTGGGATTTTGAGCCAAATAAACCCCGGCTTCACATGGTCCAGACATGAGCCACGATGCATTTGTAATGGAGAGGGTTGAGTCAGAGCAAATGGCACGTCTGTGACAGCCAGACCTCTGCAGACTTACACTAGTGATGAGCCAAACGAGTCGACACATGTGTCGAGCTCAGCAAGTCACACCTGTGTCGAGCTGTGTTGCTGTGTGTATCGCTTTAAGAAAAGTCACATAACCGATACATCTACTGTATCATTTGGTGTTGTTTGTGTCAGGAACGCTGAGGCAGCTCGTTTAGAGCGAGGAGCGCGAGGCTCAAATCTGTCGCTGTGTCTGTTCATCATGACAGAACCACAGAGAAACAGAAGATAGGCCTGTTCAGTGTGGGCTCATTTTTATCAGTCCCACATGAACCTCATCACAGATTTACTGAAATAACTATATTATTTTAACATCGTCATCTTGTCATGTATCACATATACGTGTACTTTATTCTACAATAGGCTGCGATTTGCTTTAATGACACAAGATTGCATTACCTTCTTGGTCAGGTCTTTCATTTGTTGGAATATCAGACTGCAACTATCACAAATGAGTGTTGACATGTCTGAATGAAACAAGCCCTGCGCTGTGTCAATGCCTCTGCATAGGAAGCAGGGTTTTTTTTAAACCACCAGATGGCGTTATAGAACACACCAACAGTGTGTTGGAAATGTGTTACACGCACCTTGAGGCCTCATCTACCCATCACTAAGTTTTAAAGTCTAAAACACTGTAGTCTAAAACATTACTGTATTGCTGTCTAAAGATTAGACAATACAGTATTCTAATGTTACTTTTGTGACCAGGTTTAATTACCTCATCTTAAATAATGCAAAAAGAATACCATAAACTTTTAAAGAAATTACATAAAGAAAATAAGTCAGGTGTGCTCTATTAAAAGTGTTTAAACAATTCTTGTGGTTGTAGATTTACCCAACTATTGATTACAAACATAAACTGTATAAAAAAGTGAACTAAGCAAGTGTGACTGCCTATAGATCCATGAATACATTACAATACATTACTATATAATAATAATATATATACAAATAATGTAAATAGTGCTGTCATGCGATAAAAAAAAAAGATTAATTAATTATGATCTGTAATTAATTAATCTAATTAATCTCATTTTAATCTCACCTAAAAATTGCTGAGAAAAGCCTTCAATTTGATGTATTTTCATTTAAATTCATTATTACATTATTGTGGCAGATCAAAAGACTGATATAGAACAAAAAATATATAAAGTCATTTATTGTTTAACAAATCTCTCCAAATTGGCTGTTGAGCCCAAGTCTCCATGAATAAGAAACTGTTTGCTGTAAAGTAGCAAAGACGAGGAAATCTGAACATAATAACTTTTGTCTACTTAAAGACAATAAAAAGTCCAGTCTTTCCTTAACCATATTAAAAATATTATTGATAGAGAAATGCTTTATATATGAGATCACTGGTTTTAGTTCTGGTTTTAGTTCTGGTTTAGACCTGGTTTAGACCTGGTTTAGACCTGGTTTAGACCTGGTTTAGACCTGGTTTAGACCTGGTTTAGTTCTAGGTTTAGTTCTAGTTTTAGTTCTAGTTTTAGTTCTAGTTTTAGTTCTAGTTTTAGTTCTGGTTTAGACAAGTCCTGGTTTTAGTCTTGGTGTTAGTTCTGGTTTAGAGGCGCACAGGAGGAAGCGCGGTTTACGCAGCGTACGCGAGAAAACACAATCCACACGCGGCTCACGGGAGCACGTCGGTGTCCGTGCAGTAACTACGGAAGGAAACGTGGTCCGCGCGTTCTCAGGTTAATGACGATGACTCTGTTCTACTGGCTCTACGACCTCGTCCACTGTGCGACTGACGCCGCCAACGTTAACATGACATTCACATCGCTCTTAGTGCGCGCGTTTTGTGTGGGTTTCCGGCAATGAGTGGAATTACCGAAATAAAAAAAATTATAAATGTGTTTTTTTGTGTGTGTGTGTGTGTGTGTGTGTTGTTGTCCCAACAACACATAAAAACAGGTTTTATAATAAAGCAACTCGCATACAGAAACACTAAAGTTAGAGATTAAAAATGAGATTAACGCGATTAAAAAACATAACGCGCTAAATATGACTGTAATTAATTAATCGCAATTAACGCGATAATTTGACACCCCTAAATGTAAAGACTGCTGTCATTTACGGCAATGTAATGGCCTCTTCAAACAACAAAACATAATTTATTGAATTTTACTGTATCTGAAACCTGCAGTTTAGACTTCCACAAACATGTTCTGTAATGAATGTGACTCTTGTATTAGTTTAGCTGTGACCTGCTCTCAAATGTTAATTCTCCTGGATTTTTTAAAATGCACTGTGAACTTAATTCTGAAATTACAAAAGTTAAAAATAGGAAAAAACTGGACTGATAAGCCAAGGCATTATACAGTGAGTAATATGAATTTTGTCCCTCTTTATCTCTAGATATTAGATTTTAAAAATATATATACTTTACTACTAGTACTTGCTTCACAGTATTACACTGTACCCCCTACCCCCATTTTATAACCACTGCAGCTGGAGTACTTCTTGTACTTCATGCTACTTAACTATTGATTGAGTCTAATACAATCAAATCTAATCTAGTTACAAACACCCAACAGCACACCTCATCTGTGATTTAGAGTCCCTAGGAGCTGGTTTGTAGAAAATGATTCAATGTCATTACAAATTCATCCAGTCTTAGTATAATTTAATCTGCGAGTCAGTTTTTCAAATAATAATTGTTACTGGGCACATTTAAAACATGTCAGTCTTGCATCTTTACACTATAGACAGATTTAATTTGTGTAGAATGTGAAAGAATTATGCAAAAGACAAACAATACTTCACAGAAATTAGGCTTTCCAACCAACATACCAAATACATTATAATAGATGTGGAAATGCAGATGGTATATCGTCTCGGTATATCATGCAGCCCTAGGAATTTACCTTCACAAAAATCCATTTGCAAGTCAATACTTGGCACAGAAAAGTACTGACCTGATTCTGCAGAAGAAGGACTTGACCTGAGCACAGTCGAACAAGACTCCAGCTGCAGATACAAACAGAAGAGGAATGAGTAAAGCTCAATAAATTGTGCAATATCACATTTAACTGCTGACAGATTTTTTTCAGTTTCTAAAAAAAAAAAAAAAAAAAAAAAAAAAAGTCACAAATAATCTTTTTAATTTTTTGTTTTACAAATGTGAAAATTAATAATATCAGTTAAACTCCACCAATATTGGAGCCAATATCACCCATTCCTATATTGCAGCATGTTTTACCTTGTTTAAAAGGTTGGAGAGTCCAGCTAGTAAATTGTCAAGTGCCCCTTTACCCCATCCCCTTGCAATCCCTCCCTTATCCATTCTCTTCATCCTCTCTCCAGCTCTCCCATTTATTTATCTTCATCTTCGTCTGTCTGTGTCTCTCTCTCTCCCTCCATCCTTCTCTCTGCCTCTCTCTCTCTCTCTCTCTCTCTCTCTCACCTGTATGGGAGTTGCTCCATGGTGGCAGGTGTGGCTGGGCTGTGTGAGAGTAGAACACATTCACATCTTGATGGAAAAGCAGCTCGACAAACTTCGCCGACTCCAGGAACTTCCTCTTGCAGCAAAGGATGCTGGGAGCCTGCTCTGAGGCATAGAGCACGCGGCAGGTGGCCAGAGAGAAGACCACTACAAACGAGTCCTGTGGGGGAAGCAAAAGAGACGCACACACAGCAATCACACAGCGGGGCAGGCTCTCACACACTGTACACTGCAGTAAATGTAAACCAAAGGAGCCATATGGACAGCAACAATAGGCCTCTGAAAAATATCTGTCCTTTATTATTAATAGCAGGACTGAAATCTACTGGAAAAATATCAAATTGAAATTATCAATGCATCCATAGCGTTTCATAGAAATTGCATTTAATTTGTGTTTGGCAACGGATCCCACCTGGATAATTGACTGTATCAACATCCTGATTTACTCTGTTCTGTCCTGCCCTATGCATACGTACGGGAGAGGCTGTCAAACTCCAGATAAATAAGGACTTTCAGAGGCCTCTTGTTTTGTATCCAAATGAGATGTAACTAAGGTTGTTTTCACACTGTCACTACTTTGGGCTGTTCTATGCAAATTGCAGTGGCCGTGTAGCAGTGCAGGTAGCAGTGCTTGGAATTTGGTAAAAAAAAAAAAAGCTTGGAAAATATAGGCCTATTTAAAAGGAATCGGCACCGCAGAGTTGCTGTTTGACACATTCAACTGACCAGGAAATTTGAAGAAAGTTAATATCGGTGGACTTGTCTCCTGCCTGTTTGTGCACCGATAAGCCTGAGTCAGTCTGTGGTTCAAAAAGCTTTCTCTCCTCTACCACCAGCATACAGTCCTCACAGTGTATTCAGCCACAGGTGAAAGAAAAGTTGTATCGGCAAGCGTGTGTGCATGGAGCTGTCTGAAGCGCGTTGTCATACGAAGTTTGGAGATCAGCTGATGCCTCACGTGGCACATGGTGCATGTTTGCGGTGAATAAAATGTGGTGTATGTGAAAAAGGACAAAGTAAACATAACTAAATCTAGTACGTACTGGGGTTGATCCACAAAGTGCAGTAACGTGTGAAAACAACATTAGTACAGTATAATAGCAGACTAAATGTAAACAGTAAAAGCTGAGCTTATGTAGACTTGATTTTAGTTGGTTCTGTACCGTGTTCTTTAGAGTGTGTTCAGAAGTGACTCTCTCCAGCTCCTCCAGAGTACACACTGTGGCTGTTTGCCTCTCGTCTTGACCATTACGCATCAGCAGCTTGTAGTATTCACTGTTGGCTAGAGAAATAAAAGATGATACTTTGTGATGAAGTAACTCACATATTTAAGTAGATGATAGTCTATGTATTAAAGTACTAATGTTGTAGAACTTTAGACTGTACAGGTGTGTATGGAAAATGTCATTGTCACTGAATTGAATGGACTCATCCTTGGATTTCAGGTGCAAGCAAAAGTGGGTAATTAATGCTTGAAGTTACACTCTGGTGACATGGGGGATATCTGCAGTTTGAATAAATCAGTAAGCAAATATAGTCATGTTTTAGTCCTTTATTTAGAACTAGCTTATTATGGTTTCATCTAAATTTAGACCATGTTCATCCACAAATCAGACCTGATAAATTTCCAGGATTACATCTAGTGGCACTCTGAATACCTTAGTGGTTATTTAAACTCTTAGTGGTGTTAATTGAGTGTTGCGTTTTAATTGTTCACAGTTTGAAATCTTGAAAATACTAGATGTGCGGAATGTGATTTTCTGATCATGGGCTCTCCAATTACACAGATTGTGTGGTTTGAATGTCATTTTAATAATTTTACAATTTAGTCAGAAGTCTGATAATGGTGAGTTTTTGTGCATGTAAGTGAGTAGTACCTTGTACTTGTTTGACACAGTTGAGGGCATAGTGCAGAGCCTCCACAGTGGAAGCTTTACTGCGGCTGCGTTTGTCAGAAGGAAGTCTCTTCTTCATCTCAGCCACAGTGATCATCACCTCCCTGTGTGCCTGCCCTCGCCCGGCCGCCTCACTGCTGCTGAAGGACAGAGGAGTGGAGGACAGAGTCAGAAGAACCATAAAATACACCATGTGTTACACAATGTTACAGTTCTAATACAGTCTCTTCTTGACAAACTTAAACTGCATATGCTAGGTGTTACAACTTTATTTGCTCATATTTGCCCAGAAGTTTTAGCCCAAAAATATTTAACAAGGTTATTGTTAACACAGTGTTTATAATAGCTGTGTTAAATCGTTCATGACAACAGCAATAACAGTGAGGTTTAAGTGATGTGGAAAATAATATGTCTAACTGCCAGGACGTCAAGATTATTTGGTGAATCAATGATTGTGATTGTATAAGTCACAATATAACTGAACAACAAATAAATTATTTTAAATAAATATAAATAATTTCAATTCCAAGATATGCATATTTTTTATCTGTCAATGTCATTATATACCAGAATTGTAATGAAAAATTTCATTCGGGATAGGATAAGAGCTTGAGCCAGATTGTGCACATGAAGAAAAATCCTGTGAAAATTTTTGAACTTGACTACACAATTTAGCTATTACACATTTATGTTAAAATATCTTCTGTATTGTGAAAATAATCATATCATTAAAATTTTGACCTGATGAAGGCCGAAGGGCTGAAATGTGTTGGCGTGATTTTAACTTTATCTGTCATGTGGTATTAAAGCCTTTTAATTATTTTGTACTTTTTGAGTGCCTCAGTTTTTTCCTGCTTTGAACTAAAATTTGATATTTTTACATCCCTAGTCAGGAGGATGGGCTCCAAAATGGGAAGTAAAAGATCTGCCCCTCGAGTTCAGTTCTCACACTCATTAATGCTCCTTAGTTTTTCTTCTTTCTTTAGTCTATTCATCACTTGCTTGAAAACTGCTTAGTCGTGTCTTGCGTCTCGAAAACTACAGCACAAAGTTAATCGTTTTAGATTTCACTAGGGGCGCCAATGTAAATCAGAACACTCACCTCTTTGTTGACGTTGATGCTGAAGTTGACCCAGTCATGCTTCCTGGACTATGATTGGCCGAAGAAGAGAGGTCATGTGATCCGCTGGTCATTTCCTCATCATCTCCTCCATTTGCCGTATTCTCTTCCTGTTCTTGCTGTTGCCTGGGTGACCCACTCTTCTCTCCGGTGATATTCGGATCTTCCCCGTCCAGCCCTCCGTCCCCGCTCGCCATTTCTGCGCTCTGGTCACACATGATCTTTTTATTTTTTTAGGTAATGACTGAGAAGTGGGTTTTGGTCTTCATATGTTCAGCAGCCACCAGTACAGCCGTGCCATTATAAGGAGGGGGGCTGAGGGGGACCTGGAAACAGAAAGAAAAAAAGTTAAATGAGGGCTTCAAGATGAATCGCCATAGTATAACTGTATGCATTAGCAAATCACAAAAGTTGCCATTTTTGAAGTACCATAATCTCCCCCACTAACAATATATCCTGTTTTATTCTTCATAAAACCACTAACTCTGTAGTTGAGATTTGTACAAACATTAGTATTAGTTTGTCAATTCTTCTGAAAATGTGTAAAATGTCAAGTTTAAAACAGAATCTTATTGTTAAAATATAAAAATCGTAAAATCAAATCTAAAAAATTGCAATCAAACATCTTTCCCCGATCGTTCAGCCTTATGTTAAATATTAAAATGTACTACAGTAAAGTAAAGGCAGATGCACTGTTAGCATGCTAGTTGTTAGCATTGTCTTGATGAAAAAATTCCATTGTGTACTAATTGCAGTAAAAAGGAGGCCAAGAACGCATTAGCCAGTACTCTGCGAACATACTGCCTACTTTCCAAAGATGGGTTATATTAACAAATTAATCTCTTGTATTGCCTCAGTATTGTTATCGTTATATTCAAAAATACATCAGTCCTACAGAAATGTGCTTAAGTATCACACATTTATAAAGTGACAAGGGATGTAACAATAACCGAAATATTGTGATATTGTATCATCAAAGTTCTCACAATAATATCGTGGTCCATGACAATATATCAAACTACAAGTCTCTTTGCTTAAATTAAGATTTACAGTGCAGCAATAGCTAAAAAAAAAGACAGAGGGAACTACATAGACCATGATCCTTTGCTCCATTTCAATGTAGATTACAAGAAGAAATAACAGTTATAAGATAATAGTTCTTTGGATTAAGTCTTAAGTCAAGGCATTTTAAGAAGAAAAAGTAGCATATTAACAGCTTTATTAGGCTCCAAAAAATATCTCAATAAATATCGTACCGTGAGATGTATATCAAGAAAATGTCATACAGAGACATTTGGATATTACATTCCAAATCGTGAGCCTCTCCACCAATTCATGAGCTTTCCTACGATATCGCAATAAATATTGTACCGTGAGGTTCATACCACTGATATCGTATCGTGAGACTTGGATATCGTTGCACCCCTAAAATTGACAGTAAAATTACCCCCAAAAAGTGCACAAATATTACCCTGTAGTAGGGCTGTCACGATAACCGCAAAAATGAATCACTGCGGTACTAAGAGGCCCAGCGCGATCACCGCACTTGACCAAAGTGACCCGACCCAGAGTCCTGCACGGGTCCATTTTTTAGAGACCCGCCCGGACCCGTTAACATTCCACCCATCACTGCCCGTACCTGGGTTAGTCCTGGGTTAGTCCTGGGTTAGTCCTGGGTTAGTCCTGGGTTAGTCCTGGGTTAGTCCTGGGTTAAGGTGCGCCTGCGTAGACCATCAGGTGACCGCAGGCAAAAGGACCGGCATAGAGCTCCACTCCGCATGGACACGACAGCCCTACCCTGTAGCCTTATTTTATTTGCCATTTTTTAAAATCGACTCTTTTTGCAGTAGGGCTGTAACTGAGCAAACTGTTGGCTGACTGATCGACAGGACATGTCTTATCTTTAATTAGTCGACTAAAAAAGGGGCATGGCAAAATCTCTCAAAACTATAAAGTAACCAGGTACATCCAAACTGCACTCACACACCTACAACTGCAGGGAGTTCATGCAGAAACTACTGAAATATAGAAAAGTACTAGCAAAGTGCATTCATAGGTAAAAATGTGCTTATTGAACTCACACCCTTGTGCCGTTCAGTAAATAAACAAAATAATGAGTCAACTAATAGCACTTCACTATAAACAAATGTTGCATATTTTCAAGCAATTTCACAACATTCTCAATATTTTAATAATCCATCTCTAGTTCTGGCAGCGTTGAGCATCCTCTGCTCTGTGACTGGTGCAGCAGACTTATTACATAACAAGACCTGAGTGAAGCATTTGGCGATTTCAGTATAAAGTCAATAGGCTAACACTGAACCTCAAAAGAACAGACTGGACCCGATCTCCACAGATGGATGAATATTCCAATGTGTTCTCGAGAAGCAACTATTAAGCATAACATAAGGCCATTCTTATCTCTCCACAGATCTGGCCTGTAAATTGGCTTAAGGGCTACAAGATACATTGCAATCTAATATGAAATATGAATGGATGCGATTAGCAAATGCTCCAATTTAAGTACCATAATACCACAGACAATAACCCCTTTTATACTGCATAAAAAATGCTAACCCTGTAGTTTGGATATGGACTAACATTCATTTGATATAATATGCAAACGGATAGTTTGTCAGTTGATAGAAGAAATTACAAAAAAAATAAATAAAATTTACGATAAGTTTGAACAGAAAACATAAATCTCAACACTTGTCAGAAAACCAAAATCCCAATGCCCTATTTGGCCTGGTGTGGTGCACTCTGTCTTCAGGGAGACAGATTCATTTATTGCCATACTGTAGAACATTAAAGGCAAAACAACAGGCAAGGCAAGGCAAGTTTATTTGTATAGCACAATTCGTACACAAAGTAATTCAAAGTGCTTTACAGAATAAGAAATACATTAAACATCTTTGTGGATACGAGCATGTGGCTGACCCTCTGCCAGAAAAGTTACAGTGCATCTGTAATCAAATTACACCATTTTGTACTTTTTCCCACATGTAGAGCACCGGACGTTACACTGAGTTTGGATATGGTCAGACTGGGGTTGTCAAAAGGATCAAAAATCAGATTCTAATTGATACTAAAACTAATACTAAAAAGTCACATTCACAGGACACAAATGGACCTTTCCTGAATAGCTTTAAGCGGATCATGAGCTCTATCAGAACAAGTATAATGTGATTTTGATTTATTTAGTTCTGGCAGTAAAATAAAAACATATATATACAGAACAGATGTAATATAAAAAAAAAAACACTATGATCTAATGGTGAAAATCACACATTCTATTGTGTGAATTGTGCTTTTTTTTATTTTTTTATTATCAACATGGCATCAGAATCAATATTCAATACAGAGTCTCAGTACCAAAATCAAGTTTGAAATGTTAGTATCACACACTGGTATGGGGGCTCTTTGAAATACATCCCTTTTCAGTCACTGAGCTTACACCTTGAACCAATCTGTGGTCGGTTTATTAGTGAAAGAAAATATCTAACAAAGTAATTAGCTTTAGTCTGAATGACTCTTGATATCCACCAGTCATCCCTTCTCACATGTTCAGGTCATATTCTGCAGCTTATATTGTGCACCAGCAATTCTAATGAAACATATGTTTGCAGGGTAATGTGTGATGTGTGAAGCATGTCCAACGTCAAACAACAAGTGTTTCCATTAACCCATTGACGCCGGATGCAGCATGGGTTAATAAAAAGTAGGGCTGGGCAAAAATAATTTTTTAAAATCGCGATTAATCGTATGAGTTCGTGCGATTAATCGCCCGCGGGAGCCGCAGCCGGAGCCCGCAGCCGGAGCCCGCAGCCGGAGCCCGCGCCGGAGCCCGCAGCCGGAGCCCGCAGCCGGAGCCCGCAGCCGCAGCGGAGCCCGCAGCCGGAGCCCGCAGCCGGAGCCCGCAGCCGGAGCCCGCGGCCGGAGGTTGATGTCAGATAAATACAGGACAGGGAAAAGAACTGCAACAGTCACACGTAAGTATATAACTCCAGCACACTCACTATACATAAAATTCATTCCAGTATAACCTTTTTTTCCATGCAGGTTTCTGCTTGGGGGAGGTGCCTGAGATGGAGCTATAGAGAGAATTAAAGAGCATAGAGTTCAGACTAGAAGCTGTCAAATTCATTTCCCTGATGAATAAATGTGTTTCCCCATTTTTGCTAATTAAAATGGAGAAAAACAACAAAGTTTCAATCCTGTTTGCCATTTCCACATTTCTGCAAATTTGGACTGTTTTTGTTCAGAAGAGGTGGGCCTAAATATATCACAAGTCTTCAGAAGCCAAGAATTGAAATGGTAACATGTGAATAGTTCTTAAAAACAAATGCATTTATTTACTTCATGTTAAAGTCATTGTCATAATTCTATTAAAAAAATAATACTTCAACATAGCATGTTTCCACATGCATGTCTTCTCACCACTGTAATTGCTTACTACAACTACAACTACTGCTGCTGCGACTGCGCTTTAAGAGGGCAAATCGGGTCAAAATACTCATAACTCTGCGTGTGAGTAAAGGAACCACAATTACCAGTTACTACTACATAATGCTTACAATGCAAGACAAAACAATTCCATTATCCAAATAGACACCAAAACTGAAATTAGATCCTCCATTTTACCACTACTACCACTCCAACAACAACCACCACCACTAAGTCCATGCCAACATTGAAGAAAAAAAAACAAAAACATTATGTCCTATCTGAAAAAAACAAACATTGAAAAGAAAAAATAGATTCACCAATCTGCACCAAAAAACACGTATTACTACAATTACTTCTACAACCGCCTATACTATTACATACTGGTCAACCAATTGCAATAAAAAAAAAAAAAAACAGACCATATCCTCAAGCAACCACTACCAGATTATACAACTACTGCACATTACATACATTACAGATGGACCAAAATACATACCAAAAGTGAAGCAACAATAATAATAGCTCCTTAGCCCATATTCCTTTATTCTGGGAGAAGCAAATACCCAGGCACGTATGTAGCAGGAATAGTGACAGCAACAAGCCTAACGTTCATGTGATGGTAACGTATCCCTTCCCCCATTCACAGTGAACTCAATAACCCAATGTAACCAGCCGCTTCTATAGGCTTCAAGGGCAATGCTCCCTTAGCACATAAGGAATGCATAGGATTGGTCCAACTGCTAGTGAACAGTGTGAACTAGTTAAACAGGAAAATAAAAATGTAAGTTTATGTAGTTGTGTAATAACCATTTTGGATAATCTAGGCCGATGTGCGGTTTGGATAATTATGAAAAATATATTGTAATGACTAAACTACTAAATATAGATACCTAAATTAATCTTTAAAATACTCAATTTAGCAGGTATAGATATTGAAAAAAAATCCATAAACATTACAAACTTTGACAGTATGAGTGTAATTTTTAACTTTATCAACACCAGTACACCGCATGGTAACTATGACTTTGTGCTGAAAATTACATTCTATCGTCCGTCCTTAGAGAGTAGAGTAGAGCGTATCGAGCCTTTTCTTTTGAATAGTTTAAAATCTTTGTATCATGATGAATAACACTATTATAGACCAAAACATGGTCTCCTAAAAATGTGATAAAGTTCAATAAACAGAGCAAACTAAAACAGAAAAAAACTACAACAAAATCTGTATCTGAATAGGATGCATAACATGCTAGAGAATACAATGCAATGTAAACAAACAAAAACACTCTGCATGGTTAATTAGTAGTAAAATGAATAATGTATACTGGATGTATTTGTTAATGACTTGCATAAAGTAGTTCTGCAGCCAAGTAATTAAAGAATGAATTAATTGGTAGTTTACAGATTGTGGAACGATGTGATGAGGTCATCTTCCCATAAACAGGTGCAGGTGTGACATGTATAGTCGCACCCATTTTTTATGTTTTGAAATGGTCTTGTACAGTTAATACCATTCTGTCTCTATAGTCTGGGCAGCCATGAAAAGGTCTAGTACTCTCATTGGGCTCTCTGCCAAAATAATAAAAATAAAAAAATATCTATAATACAATACAATTTAAATTCTGGGGGAGAAGGGCCAGATTTCCATACTGATTTCTCAATTGATTTCACAGTATTTTCATTAGAAATTTCAAAAGGGAAAAGGTGCTGAACCTGATCAGTTGGCCAAAGGAATGTTGTGATATCATCCAAGACCCAGCTATTCCAGAAAACTAGTTAAAACAACAACAACAACAACAACAAGTTCACTCCAGTGATATAAACCACTAGGTGACTGTAAATATGTCATAGCTAAATGTATGGTTTGGATGACCTCAAACACTGGATTGCAGACTGACACACACACAAAAAAGTAATATGTGGTAAAATAACAAGCATGGGGTCAGATGAGGACAAAGTGAGTCCTTTCTTTCGCAATGTGTTCAATAATAGAAGGAACCTAAAGATAAGAAATGTAGACAGATAAATACGCTACTATAAGTGAAAAAGAATGATAAGTCAAGTTAGTTTCATATGCATTGACTGAGTTTTGGTCATAAAAAGCCTTAAAAAGGTTAATAAACAAATGGCGGCATGCGTACTCACAGAAACTAGTTGAGTTTACGACTACGCACAAAGCAATGCACACAGATAAGGAGAAGGCATTTTCTCACACTTGCATAATCTAAACAAACAACTATGAAACTAATATGCGTCTTAAAGCGTTTATATAACACAGTCTTGGTTAAACAATAGGCATTTAAGCAAAACAATCGACCAAATTAAACCCGAAATTTCGCAGTCACTCAACCCGTGAACGTGAAAATACACACACCAGATTTAAAAATACCTGTAACAACAACAACAAAAAAAAGTACAGACTGTTCCCGATTTCACAAATACAATGGTTTTATTAAGTGGGAATCGACAATAAATACAATACGTAACAAATAAGTTAAGTTCTCTCCCTTGTTGTAGAAAGTCCCTTCACTTCTGACATGTTATGTAGTAAGCTAACACTAGCAACCATAACCATGCATACTAGCCTACAACTCCGCGTGCTAACTAAATGAACAAAAAATATTTAAAAGTCCAGCTACCGATCAGGCTAAAAGTGTCACAAAGCATGCTACAATACTTGAGATTAGATGGAAATAAGTTGCATTTATTCAAGTGCATACATTGACTGGGCGAGGTATAGTTAGCTAGCCAACAAGCTCGAAATAGCTAGTCAAGAACGACAAAAAACACCAATAATCAAAGCGCGATTTACCTTTTAAACAGCGCAGGTGTGTCCGCAACAATTCCCAAACTTTACACGTATCCGAACGATGTCAGATTTGCAATTAAATGCGATAAAGTCAGTAGCCACGTCGCTAAAATCACCAATTCCTACGCGTAGGACACATTCATGCAACGTGAGACCGCCATATGATTGACACTCCCGCTGCACGCTGATTGGTCTGACGTCACTCAAAGAAGGGCTGTGATTTGCGGAAAAGGTGTGAGTGGGTGGGGTTTGGCACGGCGGTGCGGTCAGTGGCTCACGTGGATTTACATGTTACACAACACAGCCACAACACATGGGGCAGTCCAAAACCCAGGCATTTCAACCGGGGAGGGGCATTTGGGCTAAATATATAGAGAAAAAAAAGTGCGATTAAAAATAGGAATGTATTAAAAGCCCCATTATACATTATTTAGCTCGTTTTGAACATATTTTAGAAATCATCATCTCACCTTTTTTTTTTCTTTTCAATTCTGTTGTTTGCCTTACTTTAATGCATTGAGTGGTTGCAACATTATAGCACCATTGATGGGGTCTCTTATCTTTTATATTTATGTTAGATTGCATGATTTACATAATGCTTTGATTAAAGAGCGGTAAAAGTAATTCATTTCCGATTCTGCAGCCAATAAAAAGCCATAATGCAAACAAAAGGGGAAATTACAATTTTAAATTACTTACTTTAAATTAGTTTAAATGAGGCAAAGAAGAATAACTGCCTGTTTTAAAGAGTAGTTAACTTACAATTAATACAAACAAACTAATCTAAACTTTATTTCTAAACCTGTCCTTAAACATATCATCTTGGATTTTATTATTTAGCTATTTTATTTATTTTAATTCATCAAATTCAGCGACCTACTGGTTGAACCACTCCCACTCGGACGAAATGCCTAGGTTTTAGTGAGACTACACAGAACTTAAAACCCGCTCCGTGTGAAGACTGCGCAGCTTCTGACTCATCCCAGTCCAGTCGATGTTACCTCACGTCGGCCACAGATGAGCCGGGAGCCGCTATCTGCAGGGGGCTGTCCCGGTGGTGCACAGACAGCGAGCAACTTGTGCATGAAAAACTGCACAGCGTTGCTTTTTATTATCCGGATCGTGAGATGAAATCCTAAAAGATTAAGACATCTTAATCAAAATGTTTTTGACACGTTTTGAGTGGACAAGAAGACAAGTTTAATTGACAAGACAGAATTAGAATTGGCTTATTGTTACAGAAATGTGTCTTTGGCTGGAGTCCAAATAGCTGCAAACACAACAAAAGCATGGCAAGGTTCCAAGAGGGCTCCAAGAGGAGCTCGGAATAGAGCCAATGCTCCCCCATGTGGACAGGAACCAATTGAGGTGGCTCTGAATTTGCTCTGGAAGTCTCCTGAACACCTGGCTCCCTGGGGAGGTGTTCCAGGCATGTCCCACTGGGAAAAGACCCTGGAGACTATTACATTACCTTTGTTACTACCACCGCTACAGTGGGCTTAACTACATAAAAACACACACACTGAGTGAAAAGATTTATTTATTGAACCAAAAGACTGTAAGAATTAAATTGCATTTTAGCCAAATGCAATTTTACCAGTGAGAAGACCATAGACTTACAATAACTTTTAATTCTAAGATATTATAAAGTAAAATTCAACTCGTGTGTATGGCAAAAACACTGACAAACAATATTAAGCAATGGTTAAAATTATACAAAGTTAAAAACCAAAAACATACTTCATTATTTTTGGAAGAAACAGAAATCATCCAGTGTTTGAGGCACTGTCATTACTCACATACGTTCTGTACATCCGGAAAGCAAAGCAGCAAACATGCAAAACTACACAATATATTACTACTAGAACTACTATCAGTACTCATTAGTTTAATCATTCTAAACTTAGAAATAAAAATACAAGAAGCACTGAGCACAATTCTGCTGTTAATCCATATAAGCAGTCTCTAAATTGTTTTATAGTATAGATTTTACTCTGGCATTTGGATTGGAATTTCATGTTTTACATTTCAAATGAATGTGTGTATGCAAAAACAAGTAAAAGTAATTCAGCCCTGATTTCTGAGCATGTAAAACAAAATGGTTCTAGCAGAGAGCAAGAAATTAGCTTCTGCTGGTGCATCAAGGAGTGAGGCAGTTCAGATGAGGCTAAAACAATGAGTTAAGAGGCACTTTGGAAACTGAAATAAGAATGTGCTTGGTGTTTTCAGCTTTGGGTAAGGATAGATAATAGATAATGGATAAAAGCTTAAAGTGGGGGAAAAAAAATAGTACAGTTTAGTTTTGGGGCTGAAGGAAGGGTCATTGGCATGTTCCTTGGGCAGGAGGTGGAGTGAAGAACAATGCAAGACTGGTATACAAAGGTTTTCTGTATGCCCAATTGTGATTAAGGCAAAGCTATTAATGATATAAACAATGGTGAAATATGTTAAGATTTTTACTATTTGTAATTTATGGCACTTCACAGGAATTTTGTAGGCACTTCCAATTCAAATGCAAAGACAGCTTTACAGTTCTGATAATAAAACTCATATCATTGTTAACAAATCCAAACACATAAAAGGCACATTTTGTCTACAATAATTTTTAAAGTGGCACTATGTAACTTTTAAGGTGGAAGGTCCATCACCTGCTTGTCGACATGGAGAGGTTACTGCTTTCCGTAGAATGTTCCACAGCATAGCATTAAACTATATCCATAAAGACACCATTAGGCCAAGTCACAGTAAGAAGTCATGCTATTCTTTGTAATAAAAATAAAAATGAAAGAAGGATATTGTGGAACATTCCAGGCAAAGCAATAACCTCTCCATAGCAACAAACTTTAAAAATTGCAATGAAATAAACCTGAATTTGTGCCAGTTTTTGTTAAAATTGGCACTTAAGAAAATTATTTTTTATGCACAATTTTTGTTTGAAAACAGCATTTCACCCAAGGCACTTCTCTTTAACTACTGAACATATTTAAGGCAAATATTTAATATGCAAAGAAAAATATTATGAGAATTTACAATTAGGCATTCCTAGTATTGAAACTGCATTGTGTACATGAAAATATTGCTTAGCGTAAACTGTTTATTTAGATATAGTTTTAAAATAAAATGATTACCTAGAAATTCAAAATGTTCTTTGGTTATACATTTAGGATTAAATGTTTAGTCAATATGAAAATGGTTGTACACAAAGCAATCTCAAATTAAAGGAAATGAAGACCCCATAGAGGAAATGGGGGCTGGGCAGTGATCATGTGTCCAATGATGAATTTTGACTCCCAACTTGTCGTTAGCATCCTGGTGGAGTTTATGTGTAATTATAGACTGAAAAACAAAAAAGGAAATTAAAAACGATCAGAAGCCTGGCTGGAATTAATAATGACGTACAGTAGAGCACATGCATTTTTGTTTAAATGTTTGTACCTGGTTCTAAACCAGTTATAATTTTAAGTAATAGCATGCCAATTATGATATAAAATGTAAAGAAAAACTCAAGTCATATCAAATATACTCACTGATAATGATGATGACGATGATCAGAATTACAACTATCAGGATGGCCCACATCTGTCAAGGAAAAAAAAAAATAGAAATAAAAATAAAAATTAGATATTAATATGCAAATTTAGCTTTTAAGCCATGTTTTAATGTTGTTATCTCCTCAAAAACACACCTGAAGTTGTGTTTCGTTTCATTTACACAGGTTTGAGCAACCCTTTATTATTAGTCTGTCTACATCTCCAATGCTCAAAATGCTTTGTTCCACCTTGTGATGTCATGAAAAGGTAGTGTTCAACCTTTGACCTTTTGTTCAGTAGAGATTGGCAATTCCACGGCTGAAGTTACCCAAATGATTCTAGTGAAGGTGTATGGAGGAGAGTCCTGCACCGGGTCGGGTACCAACAAATAGTTGCTGAAACGGGCAGTCTTAAACGTTCTGGAATTTTACAGGTGGGTAGTGATAACACACAGGCGGGTCAGGTGAATCCAATGAACGACAAATGGGAGAAAAATACTTAACACGCGCCCGGGAGGATTGTTGCCCTGGAAACAAGTGCCATTTCCCAGTCTTTTCCCGGAACGATGGCACACCAGGCTGAGAGAGTAACTCAAGTATATTTATTACATAAAACCCATCAGAGGTGGTGACTGGCTCGGCGGCTGCACTCCTGGTTTAGTCCTGGTTTAGTCCTGGTTTAGTCCTGGTTTAGTCCTGGTTTAGTCCTGGTTTAGTCCTGGTTTAGTCCTGGTTTAGTCCAGGTTTAGTCCAGGTTCAGTCCAGGTTCAGTCCAGGTTCAGTCCAGGTTCAGTCCAGGTTCAGTCCAGGTTCAGTCGATTGGCTTGGCGGTTGTGGCGTGTATATATTTATAATCCGCTAATAACACAGCATAGGTCCAGGCCTGGTTTAGTTTTGGACTATTGGGCTGTCAGAATAATGCGCTGACCCAGAGGTTAATGAGTGGAATGTTAACGGGTCCTGGTGGGTGCGGATTTAACTTTGATATAATCACGGGTTAACGGGCAGGTGTGGTGCTGTACTGCACTGGTGGGTGCAAGGTCGGTGCAGGTCTCCAAAAATGGACCCGTGCAGGACTCTGGTATGGAGCTTAAAAACACAGTAGAGCATTCTGTTCCACCTTGTCATGTCATGTGGTAATGTGGAGTGTTTTATATTTGAGAGAAGAACTCAGCCCAAATATGAGGGGTTTGTGGGTTAAACATTAAAAAAAATAACAACTCCAGGTCTGTTTGTGATGACGAAACATTAAAATCTGAAATTAGCCTGATACTGGCCTTTTAAAACAACTGTGTTAGCATTGTTATGTTAGGAGTTATAAGTGTGATCCAAGATGCCCAAACACATTTTACAAAATGTTCATCTAAAACCATCCCCAAACAAGTGTTTTTCATTCTAAAACGTGATGATGTCATACTGCCAGACAAATCAAGAGGCAGTTTTTTCCTATTTAATTACATTGTGCTTTGGCATGAAATATCCAGAAAGTATAGACACAAATGTTGAACCTGAACATTTCTATTACAGAGTAGATCCAAGAACTCACTGCATTACAACAACAATAAAAATACATTTTACAAGGGCAGATATTATGCAAAATTTACTTTAAGCCATGTTATAATGTAACTTTAGTTGTGTTTTGCTTAATTCACACATGTTTGAGTACACTTAATTATGAGTCTGTCTACATCCCCAAAGCTCAAAACGCTCTGTTGTCTGTAATGCAATGAAGCTGTATGTCTTGTCCAGTAGGGATGGTAGAACAAAGTGTTTTGTGTTAGAGAGAAGAACTCAGCCTAAATATGCAGAGTCTATGTTAAAAAATTGTGAGAAAATTGTGTTTTAAGAAAGAAACAACAGTATAACTTTGATCACAAAATAGCATAATATAACAGTATTAATTTTAGCTTCCCTTATGTCTATTAAAATATGGCCTTGTAGAATGCTATAAAGTCTGGATGCTTTGCTGCTCTCATCTGGCGTTGGGCAAATCGCTTTTTCATGAACACAGCATCAAGTTGTTTGCTCAAATTTGAGAAATGGGAATTCTGGAATCTGCATGATTTTCACATCAGGGGTGACTGATTGAAGTACAAACTGCCCTCATAAAATAAAGGCTTTTTACAAATTCTCAAACCAAATGAAGGCCTGTCCGTTGTCTGCATTTCTCTAAATTACTTGCAAGATGTTTTACCAAAAGAACATTAAGCTTGGAAAAACTACTATAAGCAACTTCTGAAATAGTTTCTGCTGAAAATATTGAGTTACAAACAGATGGTTAGTGTTTCCTCAGCAACCGACAAAAGCATATGAGAGTGAAAGAGCACCGCCCTCGGAAAACTGTCCCTTCTAAGCTCCTCAAAAATGAACATGAAAAACTCATTAGCCACGAGTAAGGAAAGTGAGGCAGGAGGCAGAAGCTTGGAGCATAGCTGACTTGTATCAACTGATATCTTTACTTAATGCTGATATTCAATACCAGATTTTTTTTTAATGCTGCCCAATTCTCTGTGTCTCCGTCTCTTATAATTTGAAGCAGAGTTCCAGTAAGTTCTAAAAAGTAATTTACGGACAAAATAATGAAATAAAACCACGAGGATCATGTAGAGCGGGTTAATACGAACATTTCAAGAACAAAATAAGGACCTTTTTATGGAGAGAGACAAAGTGAATTGAAGTCAGTGGAGCAGGAAGCACGCCCATAATCACTTCCTATTTGAAATACGGCAGCTAGTGGATTAGCAATGTCCAATTACAATTTATACATACGACATGAAGCTAAAACCCATGACTAGACTGTTCAAATAACTATTAACCACATGTGTTGCCCAGAGGCCACAGACTGGTAGCCTATCTTGTGTCATTTAATCCTAGGACACTCATTATTGATATCTGATATGGATTTTTTTCCCCACTGATACCAATACTTGACAGTTGCTTAATATGACCAATAAATGATCATTGCAGATACGATATTTATCTTTTTAAAGCCATGACAAGGCAAATAAAAGTATTTTTTAATATATTTTTGTACTATATAGATTAAATAGAAATAAATTAACTATAAACAAAAACATATTTATCCAAGATATTAAATTATTTTCCATATTTTTAGCGCAATTGCTCTTCTATTTACATTTTTACTCATTAGTCTCATCAAAAAGACAAATCTGATGCATGGAGGACAAACAGGGAATGACACATGGGCATACAGATACAAGACAAAATATTAGCATATTTAGTTTTTCATTCAGATGATACCTATATTAAAACCGATATATATCATTCATTTGTACTCACTGTCATTATTGCTGGAGTTTAAATGCACTGACCTTGCAGTTCTTCCACCAGTACTTCCTCTTGAGTTTGGCGGCGCTGGTCTCAAACTGTGACGCTCCGGCCTGAAGTGCGTCCGCTCGGTCGTCCAGCTCCGACAGCTTTTGATCTCGCTCCAAAACCTTATCCACATTCACACGCATTATATCCACCACCTGAAACAAGAGGAGCAGGTTAGACATACACACTGCATTAAACACAAGCCCTATCTGCAGGGATATCTCAGTGTAGCTGTCATTTAATGCTGAACTAGGCATCAAGATGAATTCTTGTCATATTTGTTTTCACAAACTCCAGAGAAACCATCTGACCCAGCTCCCACTGTAGTGATTGCCCGGTTAACCAGTGGTTCAAACCAATCCCAGAGGACTGGATAATTTGCTTTTTTATCTGAGATGTGCAAATGACCTGTCTTTTTAACACCTCATGCTAAGGAAAGCGGCAACTGCTAGCACCTTCACACAACTACATATTTAAGAGTGTTATTTTCATAATCAAAATCAACAGGGCAATAAACCAGCACTTCTATCTGCTTCAGTCATTTTGTGTCCAGTTAAATATATGTCGCTGTTGTTTTTCTGGCTTGCAAAGAATTGTGGTCTATATTGACAATCTAGTGACCACAGATATCCACTACTTTTCAAGGTACATTGTGGGAAATTTTGAGTGCACTACTTTTTCATCAACTGGACATTCAAACACCACTAAAAATGGCGTGACTCCTAAAGTGCCGTAAGTAGAGAATAATATGGACATTCGGACACAGTTTATTTTGTTTTGGAAAAACGTGCGAAGTGAAGTGCTCTGTACATTTATGGAGGCAATTGCCTGATTTTCTCTTAACACGATTTAACAAAAGTTGGATCTGTTGCCTTGTTCCACTGTTGTCATTCTCGACCAAACTGCAACAATGTCAGGCAAGTTTAAAACAAAACTTTATTTTCAATGGGAGAATCTTGACAGTTAGTTGGTTTAATTAGAATATAAAATTATTTGATAAAAATATTCAAAAAATATAAACATAAATCTAAAATGATTCATAAAACATTCTCCAGCAGTCACGTTGTCGCCCAGTAGCCTTTTCAGTGATGCCCTACATGTTCCACTGATCTACTAACACTCTCTCCCTCCCCTTTTTTTTCCTCTCCCTCCCTCTCTCTCTCTCTCTCTCTCTCTCTCTCTCTCTCTCTCTCTCTCTCTCTCTCTCTCTCTCTCTCTCTCTCTCTCTCTAGCTCTCTCTCTCTAGCTCTCTCTCTCTAGCTCTCTCTCTCTAGCTCTCTCTCTCTCTCTCTCTAGCTCTCTCTCTCTAGCTCTCTCTCTCTAGCTCTCCCTCTCGCGCGCTCTCATTTGGTCGTTTGGTTCATGCCTTCATTGCATAACCATAGAGATTACATAAAGCTCTCTCGGCAAATCGGAATGCTCCATTCAGGTTAAAGTCCCTCAGTGGGTGGGGCTATGTGTGTAATAGAAAAGTAGGCAACATTTGTATTGAAGCTGAGCCGTGTAAGTACAGGATTAGGCCAACAACAAGAATGGGGAGACAGAGAGAGGGGGAGACAGAGAGAGAGAGAGAGAGAGAGAGAGACAGAGAGAGAGACAGAGAGAGAGAGACAGAGAGAGAGAGACAGAGAGAGAGACAGAGAGAGAGAGAGAGAGAGAAGGGGTGAGGGAAAGAGGAGTGGAGAGGAGAGGAGAGAAAGAAGGGTGTAGGAGTTTAAGTATTGATGGTGGACATATTACTGTAATGCCGATGCTGTTATGCAAGAGTGATCTCAGAGTGTAGGGAGGGATACTCAACTACAAAAACTAGGCCAAAAACAGGACTTTACCAGAACTAAACCAAGACTAACAAGAGTGCATTTGGATTGCAACAGGTCAAACAAAACAAACGTTAATGACTAAATATTTAAACACATTTATACAGAATAAAACATTAATAAATAGTTGTATAAACATTAACAAAGTTCTGACTACTATGCTTATTGCTACTACTAAGCTACTGTGGTCCTTAATCTTAAAAGGTCTTTTGTTATGTGAAATTCACTCTTGAGCACTGCAAGTCATGTTATAATGTTGTTACCTCTTCAAAAACAAAACCTGGAGTAGTGTTTCAATCACACGTTTGATTAATCCTTTATTATTAGTTGGTCTACAAAACATCCTGTTGCACCTTGTGATGCATGTAGTGGTAACTTTCAAGTTCACCACTACCTTTCGGCGTAATATGGTATCTGGTGATATTTTTGGTCCGCTTTGGATTATCTTTCCAATATTATAACATTTTTTGAGTAAATATGTTTGGCCACTCATCAAATATAGCAAGCTACTTGAGAGGGCTTGGAGAGTCCCTGCCTTATATCCATCTGAAGGGTTGGGAGATATGACGATAAAAATGTAATTATGATCTCAGTGGCGATCTTTTTTTTTTATATGCTGATTCCCTATGACTCTTTAATGCAACCATTTGCTCAAAACAAGGCTCTGAAAGGCTCTGAGCGAGTGACAGCTGGAATTAACTAATCACAGTGAAGTGTGAATTAATTTTATTTATTTACCTTATTAATCCAAAGTTTACACAAAACGTGGTGCTTTTCATTACAACCACCCCTAGGAAAACTACACTGAAACTAACACACCCTAGGGCCTATTGTTTACACTGATTACTTAGTAATAAGTCCGTTGAACTACCTTGGAACTGCCAAGAAAAACAGTTTTCTATAAAATTTGTTATTTATTATAATCATTGATGAATCAAAATGGGTACCGAGTATCTTTTCCTTGGTAGTGAAATCAATTTGAAATAGTATTGTGACAACACAAACCTGCATGAGACATAACATAACATAACAAAGTCCTCATGTCAAATAACAAGACTTCACAACAGGTTTTCAGCCTCAGAGCGACAGATCGAGAGGGGTATGTGAGTAGAGGGGGATGGGCACGAAGAAATGTTCTAGGACACAGGGTCAGTGAGGACAAACTGCCTGTTTATGCTATGGGAAGTGAGTTCATATAGGGGCACATTTGAGCTGGACAATACCAAAGGTTCTCAGTCTAGGTGCGCTATATACTCAAAATACACAAAGGAAATTGAGTTATAGTTGGACATCAAGTTGATAATACTGCAAATGGTGTTTTGAAGATATGCAAAATTTGAATATTATATCATTGACAAAAAAATAAAACAATGTATTTGTAATTGTAAACTTTGTACTTAAAAAAAATCTATTAATCTAGTGTTAAAAACTGTAATTCAGTGTTTATTGCTTTAGTTCAAATGTCATTCTTCAAAACGTTTTCACTACAGCTCAACAATGCCATCTACAGGACTACAGTCTAACATCCTCGGAATTTGCAGGTTCATGTGATTATAATTTAGCAAATACTGATGGCACCCTTTGCACACAAAAGAAATACTATAATTGGTGACAACATGCCATCTGCTGGAAAAGTGGTTATTCAAAAATACCTATTTGAATCCAGATATAGTTTTGGTGGCATTTGGTGTGAAAAGGAATTACATTAAGCTTAAATTATGACATATTTCATTATAATTACAATTTTAGGTCCACAGTAAAAACATTATAATGTGTGAGTATGGGATGCACCGATCACCATCCTTTTCGGTTCTAATACAGATTTTGATTCTGCCAATACTTGATAACAATCGATACCACCGAAAACAGCTTTTATTTCCTTTATAATGATAACAGACACAACTCATCCAAATGTGTTATGTAGTTCTTATTAGTCTCTCAGCTGCAGAACCAGACCAGTAAAAACAAATAGTCTTATCACATTGATTTCTATGACCAATCGGAATATGGGCTGAACAGATATTTGGAAGCTGATATTCAAGTCAGCATTTTTTTCAGGATCAGTGCTGATATTCGATACCAGTACCAGATCATGCATCCCTAAATCAGTGCACTGTGACTCACCTCGTCAACCTGGGCCTGTGTCTGCTGGAGGCGTCTGTTGCTGGACGCTGCAGCAGGGTTTTCTGGAGCTGGAGCAGACCTGAGGGAGACCACGAGAAAGCATCAGAAATATCAAACATGTGAAACACAGAATAGAGGGGTCGAGAAAGAAATTGAACAAATTTAACATTCCTCCATAACTATTAATTCCCCCTAGAGCTGCTCAATTAATAATTAATATCATATCAAAATCTATATGGACAATGGACAATTTGAACGGACGACAAATCAGAAAGGCGGTAAAGTACCACAATGATTGTAATTGTTCATCAGTTCAGTCTTCTTGCAAATTCTTGAAAAATGTGAACGTTGAACAGAATCCTATCATAAATTTAATCACAATCACAAAGTTTGTCAGAAAAATCCCTAATTCGCCCTTTTATCATTATCTTATTGAGTTTGAAATCAGCCTTTCTGGCTGGTCGGTTAATCAAATTTTTAATGGAGTGGTCTACAGTTCTCTGTCAGTAAAAGCATGTGGTTTGAAGCAGAGTTCAGACTTTTAAAATGTTTTTAAAATGTTTTTAAATCGGACTATTTTCATGTGAAGTGACACTGATTAGAAGTCTGTATTGTTCATGTTGAGGACATTGAAGGTAATGGCGTGCAAAAATATTAAGATAACTCAGCATAATAAATGTAGTGATACAGTATTGAAATTGTGGGCTGCAGTACTGATATAACTATAGCACCTTTTTACAGTTTTGTAGCTTGTTTACTGTTTAGAGAAAGGAAACTTGTTTATGCAATACATATTCATTGTTTAAATGATTGAAAGGGGTGTACAGTATTTCATATGAACTCTGAGCAGGTAGTGGCTTTGCAAAGAAATACTGTTGTTAATGTATTTTGTTCTTTAATATATTAATTACCACATTTATCACCATATCGTGATAATATCATATCGTATTGTGTATTGTATCAACTTGTGAGTTACCCTGTGATTCCTAGCCCTAATTGAAAGCCACTTGTTTTTAATAGCACAATAATAAAACTGGAAAGAGCAAAAGGGAAATTTTCTTTTGTCCTATTCTCTAGTCAGCGCTCCTGTTCACATTCAAGAGAGGGACACTGGCACATTGTTCTGTCTGAAAACAAAACAATAACAATGATGCAAACACCATTTAGGACCAGTCATTAGAGCATTTGTAATAAGTTCATAAAGAGAACTTATTACAAAGAGCTGCTGCCAACAACAAAAAGCTCACTCCACCCAGTATTTGAACAGCTGCTGTCGTATCATGGGCCTCATAGAAAAGGGCTGGACTTAACTAAGACCTATGTCCAGGTTTTGAGAGAAATGCAATCCAGAACCACATAAAGTAAGCAAGAAGGAAAACTGAAACTTTAAGAGAAAAACTTTTACAGTTACACATGTTTTGTTGATTGATGTATTTAATTTGATGATGCCAATTTTACTTTTTAAGAGTCTATTATAATATTGTCTTATCAAACACATTTGAAGTTCAGGAGGTGCAATTCAACAAATTTAGAATGAAAATGAGATTCTGTTGTTTCAAATAATCAGTTTAAGGAGTTTTACTTAGCAAGCCAAACAGCCAGTCCTCAGGGATTAAGAGCATTTTAACTATTTATGTGTTACATAGCACTGACTCAAGTTTTTCTTCATAAAATTAAGATTGAAAGTCATATTTATTGGTGTTTAATTGAACAATGTGGTAAATTAATCAGGAAAAAAAAATAATTTTTGCCTGATTTCTCAGAACAATGCATAGTTATATTTAGTTTCATATGAAAAGGTTTGAGTAATCACACTTAGCCTTCTTCATAACTCAGATGTATGGAGCAAGGAGTTTAAAGATTTAGGTTGGATCATAACAGGACATTTAGCAATGCCATGTCTCATTTCACAAAATTATGCAATAAAGAAGATTTAGTAACTGCTCAACATTTATATGAATAGTGCTTGTGTTTAAAAAGTCTTGAAGTACGCATTTTTAAATAATTGGTATTTAATGTTGTATAACGGAAAATAATGTGTGAGCACTGAGCAACATTTAGGTTCTAGCAACCTGGGTGACTGAGGGATTGCACACGTATATAACATTTTGCAAAGTCTAAATCTCATCTTGTCTAGGATCCAACATCATGGATCCATAATCGTGTGGCATTTATGTATTTTGCCCACCCTTAATAAATGCCAATGCTGTACAGATTAGGCAGATTCCTGTATTAAACAGAGGAAGGATGCAGTTTCATAAAATGCATGATTAAACATGCATTTAAAAAAATAGATTAACCAAAAGACTTTTCTTCTTCAGTCCTGTATACTTCCTCTACAGGTTATCTTGTGACAGCATAATAATGGTATCAGATAACCATTATTTCAATTATGACTCATAAACACAATGATTTTTTAGACTAGTTTGACTGTTTTAAACTAATGAAATCATACTTTGCCCATTTTTATGAGATCTACTACAAATCCCACCTCTACCCCCTCTCTGAGATCACATGATCCCTGCATTAGCTCTTTGAGTCCGTGCTAATATTTCTCCTCTGCTAAAGAATCTCACGACATTCCTCCTGGATTTGTTTAGACTGAGGAAGTGCTTCAACATTCACCTCCACCTCCTTCAGATCCCGAGACCCTCCTAAGGTCCAAAAGCACACACCCCTGTTTCCTGTTTCCTGTACATTTGTGCAGCAAAAGCAACGGAGAATGCTGCCCTTCTATTTTTATTTTTTTTATTTATTTATTTTTTTTTTTATAAAACAAAAGATTTACTTTTTATCTTTTCTTTTGTTTTGTAGTTTTATTATCTACATCTGTTACAAATAAGTGTACACTGCCCGAGTATGAAAGAATAATAAAAAAAAAAAGCACATGAGAATGCGTGACGTGAGAATGTGTGGAGGAGAAATCAGGCCATGAAAACTGATCATCTACAGGATGACAGGAGACATGTCATTTAAAACACATTTGGTTTGGTTTATGTAATACAGTTAAATACAGGTTATACATTCTTTTCACAGTAGTGATTCATTGCACAGTAGTAAAGTAAAAGTAGAACATTGTAATTCAAGACACTACTACTACTTACTAATATTAATACTTTTTTTCATTATGAATATAATTTCCAATACCAGTCCTGCTGCTGTAGCATTAATTTATCTTTATCCTTCACATTTTAAGCTGTGGCAAAGTTTACAAAAATTCTAATTTTAACATTTGTAAATTAATAAATAAATAAATAAATAAATAATTAAAAAAGGATTTCTATTTATCTGGACTATAATACAATATGTTCTACTTTTTAAAGACGATTGTAAACACATAACCACAGTCAGTGATATCAGTAGCAGAGACTTTAAATTTATCCGATGGTATAAAAATGTATGCGAGATCAATTTTAGAACCGATTTTACTAATTTTACTGTTAATAAATGTCTCGGTCCCGACAATAACATTATAACATTACAGAAGTTGTCTGATTGTGGTGGTGTGACCTCAGTCAAGACCATTAGAAAATACGTAGGGAAAAAGGATACAATGAATTAGAAATGTCAACAAAACTATTATAATAGTAATTGGGTTTAATCATAAAATCACAAGGTAACGTGGCGTAACGTTAAATGTGACTTTACGCCTAATGCATCATCCCTGTTAAAATGTAATGATTATACTACACATTTTGTCTTTAAATAATAAATGAAATGATCAAATGAATAAATATGGTCTGAGAGCTACTATATGAGTAATCAGAATCACTATTTGAGAATATAACGTGAAACAACTACACCGCTAACTTAGTTGAGTCAGTTTTCCATTGACCGTTTCCTGTTTTAAGCGTCTAACTAGAACAAGCTTCACCACAATGAATCAAAGTTCTAAAAAATAGCTTATTAGGACATTACACGACTATTTCAGATCAAAAGCTAATAAGATCATGACCTAATAAACGCCTTTTGTAGAGGAAGCTAGTAAATCAAAGAGTAAATGGGGCTAGATAAGATGCTAACCAACTAGCCTTAGCCGAAGTTTCCGACTATTGAACTATTTTGAATATTAAAGAAAATATGACATGACATTATGTTTAACTTGTACACACCTTCAGAGTCATCTGTATTGACTACATTGGCAGACAACCGATTGCGTGAAAATCTAAAAATATAACTTTTAGCTTAGCTTTAGCCTTTACGCTATGAACGCTAACTAGCACTTGTTGAATGTAAAGTTTGGGGCGTTGCTTTTTTCCAGATTTAGTGCAATGAAACTACGCAGAAACTAACGCATACGACCTTGCATTTATGAAAACATACCCTGCCTACATAAAGTACTTGCAATGAAACATATACTTACATTGTGGAATATTTTTTCTAGCAGACGACGCAACTCTAATGTTCGTTGACAGAGCTAATGCTAAAGCTGAGGTAAAAGGCTGTCGGCGCCGGCTTCAAGGATGTTGGAAATTCAAACACTTGCAGGCAATTCAAAACCCGTTTTATGATTTTAAAATGTTGTTCTAGTGAGTAACAGTGTCCTTTAAATAACACTATAAATTATATATCCGTATTCTTATATATCTCACAATGTAACTGTAGGAGTCTGAATTATCACTCGTGAAATAATATTAAATTTAGCGGCGAGTACAAGTGCAGGTTCCTATGTGTTACAAAGGCACCATAGAACCTCTTGTACTGACTATTGAAAGTACTGTTGTTAGTATTCTGTTCTTGAGATATCAAAATACAAAACAAACAAAAAAATCTGTTCATTTTGCTGTTTGTTAAATTATGTTTTAATATGTGTATCTATTTATCAACATTTTATATTAATTAATTACTGTAACCCTGGGTACCGCCGCTAGAGGTCAGTGTACATCTATGATGTCACAAAACAAGGCCGTCTTCGAATGGGCACTATTTTTCCCACTTACTAAATGTACAAAAGTGTCAACAGCAAGTGACATAGCAGCCAATTTGTAGCTTGTTTCCCTCAAATAACATAAATTTTATTCCTGACAAATATAACATAAGAACACCTTTATTTGTCCCACATTATTGGGCACATATGGTAATCACCTGTTAATACACTGTTTATATACTTGAATGAAATGTGTAATTGTGTAAAAACACATAAAAAGACATACATACATACATATGAACATAGTAATGTTTGACCACTTAAATAATGAGATAGTAATAGCACTAAATCCACATAAAAAGTCTTTCATTCTATGTGCTAACTGTGTTATGTTAGCTGATGGTAATAAATAATGCAGTAGTTGTACTGGATAAATATAATAATTATTTTTAAAGGATTTGATAAAACATATACTAGAATTGTTGTTCTAGGAGGCAAAATTTTCTTCTCTTCTTAATTGTCTGTGGTCAGCTTCTGCCTTCACATCCCAGATCCATCCACAGCTCCAAGCTCAACATGCTGCAAGTACACACAAATGGGTGCTGTTGTTCATAATGTTTCCTTTACAACTATCTCCTGTCTCACTACATAAAAACTAAAAATAACTATATAGGCCTACACAAATCTGTTGCTGTGGGAATAATAAAGGTTAACAAACAGAAAATAGAAAACAGCAAATCTATTCTTACATGCACTTTCTGTCCATCATGTCCATTCACTTTTTCACCAGCAACAGGATCATGAGTGTAAATATCTGTAAATATCTCCACCTGCAAACAACATTTTATTTCTTTAATAAAATACTCTAATAGTATAACACAATATTGTATTTTTTCTGTTATATAACAAGTTATTTGCTTAGACTTGTGAAGTTTGACTGCATCCAGCTTTTTTAAACTGCAAATAAATATAGAAAGTAAAGATAGTAAAAATCTTTCAGTCTTCTTACATTTACAGATATCTGCCCATCGTTTTCATCTGTGTTTGGGTCTGCATCTCCATTATCCGATACATCTGAAGTCTCCTCCTGGAAACAAGTTACCACAATATAAAGGAAGTAATTTATTTTTCCTGAAACACTTTTGTACTTGTACTTCAGAAATTAAGTAATGGGAGTCTTACTTGAGTTTTTACTACTTCCCATAGATTGTATAAATAAGTGGACTAAGGGAATGTGACATCACCCATAGAGTTTGGTTACATTCAAATGAAGCTCACAAGGCTAGCTGTTATAAGAGTGAATTTGGAGCAAAGTTCTATACTACTAATTGGGATTTATTTATAGACAAAATAGCAGGAAAAAAAACACCAGGATAATGTAGAGCGGGTTAATACAAACATTTTAAGACCAAAATGATGAGCCTGACAGCAGCAGTTACAGAGAGAGGGGTGACGGTTTCAATGGGGCCAGAAGCACCTGCATGCTCACTTCCTATTTGGAACGTGGCGGCTAGCTTTGTCCATTTATATACAGTCAATGCTACTTCCCCCACCTCTTTTGTTGAAGTGTTAATGAAACCACAAAAAACCTGTTAACATCTGTACTTACAATCATGTTTTGGCTTTCATGTCCTTCATACTGTACATCTGATGCCTCTTCCTGTAATCAATGACAATATTGTAACTATTTTGTCAGTGATTTTGGGACAGGCTAGTTTAAGAGTTTCAAAATGTTGGTAACTTGTGTATTAAGGAAGAATTGGGAAAATGTGAGTAAAATTGGCTTGTCAGAGAGGAAAAGATCGAGCCAGCCAGGAGTCGAACCTAGAATCTTCTGATCCGTAGTCAGACGCGTTATCCATTGCGCCACTGGCCCTACGAGGAGTCAGGAATGTCAGGGGCGTGTCCATGATTTCCTCAATGTGTCAGGTCAGTGGGAGTAGTGATTAGTGATTTATCCTGTCTTCTCCTCTCAGTAAGGAGGTTGTGGGTTAGACTCCTGATCTCTGAGTGGAGTGTGCATCCCCCCCATGCTATTCAGCTGTTATCTTGTCTCCCCTACTGTGCAAAATCTGGTCATTAGCAGGTATTATGTAAATCTATGAATAAACATTAAACAAAAACACACTGAAATCTTGCACAAGTCTCCTGTATTCTCTCTTGGTTACCTGATATTGTCCACTTTGGTGCTAATGCCCTCCCCACAGACCTGCTCAGACTGGAGGAATGCAGGCTCAAAGTAAATGTCTTTAGACTCGAGTGATTGAGTTTCACTTTCACCTGAAAACATCTCACTCTTAAAAGGTCATCACTGCAGCTTTGGGTTGGAGCCAGAAAACTACTTAACACTGAGATTCACAAGATATTTTGCACTTTGATTGGACATTACAGATGACTAATTCTATCAAAACAGATGACTCAGAGGTAGAAAGTATTTTTTACGGGTATATGCTAAAAATTTTACTCAAGACTTCTTAGATTGTAGTGATACATTATGACACATTATGATATTAGCAGGTGTGACAGGAGCAATAGTTGTAATAAATGAAAATATTTAAAACAATGTTGAATATTTGTGTACTTATTATTTCAAACAATTTGAATGCATTTAATTTGAATGCCAGCATAATTTAAATAGGAATAGGCTTTTTCATCATGGTTAGGGAGCTGGAAAAAAATCGGATTGCTTAGGTTGTGTTTTGCAGAAATTATGTCAGTATAATCCTCCAGTTGTCAAGGTATAATTCCATGGCAAAAGAAGTTGTACTTCTGTCAACTGGATAAAGATTTCTGAGAGTGAATATGTTTCACCATTTCAAGCAGCTTCTTCAGTCATCCTGTCAGAACTAAAGAAGCTACTTGGATGAGAGGTGAAACATAATAAACATGTTTTAAATTTAAATTCAATTTAAATTGTCCAATGACATTTTCTTTTGCAACATACAATATACAGCTGACATACCTGACAAAGGTAATCGACTAAAATGTTGCAAGTAATAAATGACATGAAAAAGAGTGAGACAGTGTGTGGGAGATTTCTTTTTCCATAAAATATAGAGTAATAATGTAAGAATAATAGACATGCATGAATGACCAACAAATTGCTAAACTATACTCAATATAAAAAAAAAAATTTTTTTTAAATGGGTCAACAGGCTTTTAAACCCTAGCCAAAAGAAAACCAGACACTCCAGAAAAGTAAAAAGTAAAAGTCACACATGGAATAGTATACTTAAAAGATCTTCATTAGGACTTAGCTAGAATTAAGCATGAATCTGAATATACCTTACTTTTCTTTGTACCACTTTTACTTTTCTAGATTGCCTGGATTTCGTTTCTTTTTTTCCAAGAGCACTCTCTTCTTGTTTTCACTGTTTGGAACACTTGCAGCAAGCCACATTTTTCTTTTTTTGTACAGGTTATTTAAACAAACTGTACATTTCTGCAGCCAATGGAGTCTTTGATCATCTTAAGTGTTTTTCTTTAACATTGAGGTATTTTTATTCTGCTGAAGGGCCAAAATTAAAAAAATGAATTTTTAAAAAGTATTGTTTGGTTTTGAGATATTTTAATTCCATTTGAGGGTTTGTTAAATAAACACTATTGTATTACTCACATAGTCTGGACCAGTGTTGAGCATCTCGTCCACTTCACTGCTCTCTCTGCTGCAGTCACCAAAATAACACTCCGCATCTCGCCTCTCACGTTTGGTCTGAAGGAAGTCAGATGCAGAGGACTTTTTGATCAGAGCTGGAAAAAACAAGGCCAAAAACATGGTTATTTCTAAATGATAATAAACCAATACTAAGTAGATATAAGCAAATATCCTCAGTCAACCAAGCAAATAAAATAACAAGAAGCTTGAATTGCCAAAATGTACCTCCTTCACAAATGTAGGTAATTAACAGCATTTCAGTTAGAATTAATAGAACCATATTGTCTTGTAATAGTGGTTCTAGTGTAATATTTATTGTAGTAGTAGCACTAGCAGTAGTATTAGTAGTAACTAGTACACGTGAATGGTCCAGCAGAGTTGAGGTCCACTCTCTTCTTCTGTTTGTCACCTGAGAAAGCCACACCTACAAATGTTCCTGATTTTTGAAAAGGACACATGAATCTTAATGACTTTTTTTTTGGCAGTAGGTAGGAACAAGTGTCTTCTTGTTTAGGACCCTCATACAGCACAATACACACAAGTTCAGGCACTCAGAATTTGCACTATAGTTCTGTTCCTGTTACCAACCCCACAACACATTGCATCCACTGATTGCATTGAAGTTGAACAAGTCACGTTTGACTGTATTGAAGGTGAGAATTAATATTGTAGAAATAAAAATAAATGTTTTCGCTACTTCGACACACTCAGTAATTCAGGTCACTTATCCAGCATTGAAAGTCTGACAATTTACCTGCTTGATTTCTAAGATTTCCTGTGTAGGCCCTCAAGTAATGGGGATTATGTCAACGTGCACGAGGATAATGTAGCATAACTAGCCTAGCATGATGAGCTCACTGATCAGTTAACCCACTAAAAATATAATACAGGCTTAAAAACAGAAGTTTGAAAATATGTGATGAATGTGGAAATATATGCTTGCTTACACGTGCTTATTTTGAAATAAATTAACAAAAATAAAGAAATACATAAATTTAATCTAGAAACTCCTTCAGTTTTCGAAGGTAGGTTACAAAAAAGATCGAGCCAGCCAGGAGTCGAACCTAGAATCTTCTGATCCGTAGTCAGACGCGTTATCCATTGCGCCACTGGCCCTATATCTAGCGGTCTACTGTATGTTGTATTTATTGTAGTCCGATGGAGAGTATATGAGTTGGGTGAATTAATGCCTAGGCATTTAGGCAACCTTGAGAACATTGACTAATTTCTTACTTTGCCTGGTCGTTTATAGGTTACGTTTATGCTCAATAAATAAACACTCTTGGCCTACAAAAGTATATATTTTTTTCTTTAATTTGTAATAAAATTTAACAATAAATCCTGTCTGTCACATTTTGTCTAAAGGACATCATGCATTGTATAAAATGACAAGGGATGCTACGATGTCTCGGCAAAGAAAAACACCAATTATCCACTTTGCCTCTAACATCCAGTGGGAAGATGTTGCCAAGTAGACTATCCAACCATACTCAGAAAAGAGATAGTGTTTTCATCGCGTTTAATTGCACTCCAGTCTAGATATAAAGCATCTATAATTGTGTTGTATTTGATGATCTTATATGCCAGAGCTGCTGGATTTGGCTTTGGCAAGGCAAACAACTAACAACCGCATAAATATTGCCACTTGGGGGCGACACTGACCACGTCTTGTTACTTGCTGGTTTATTGTTTGCGCTGGCTTCTCTGTTCATTAACTTGAAGAAATTAAAGAGACATATGCGTAAACCCGCATTTAAACCTTTTCAACCTTATGCTACATTTTCTTTTCTTTGATTTAGCTTTTTTTTTTTTTTTTTGTACTTTTTACTTCACCTTCGTTCTTTCAGGGATGCTGCGTTGAATGACTGAATCCACTAATCACGGGTAGTGGAGTGGAGGAGGGCGCACAGTCGAAGAACAAGGGAGTTAGGGCGCATAGACTTTTGGGGACACTTTACTTTAGTTCGTTTATGTTTCGCACTTTAAAATTGTCTGGAATAAAGCCAATTTTGAAGCAAGATGTTGTAAGTAAAACATTGCATCTTTTTGCCTTTGTCTCCTCATCCTCCATCCGTCTCCAGCTCCGTTGCGCACTGGACCCCTTCGCTCCAAACGTCTCTTCTCTTATCGGATAATGATGTGGACTTTACCAGCTCTTCTCCTGGCTCTTTTCCCGGCTGTGGTGCATGGGAGCTGGGGTTGTCAGCTCCCGCACGACTGGAGACCCCAAACCGAGTCGTGCCGTGCCGAGCTGGCTGAAATCATCGTCTTTGCCAAAGTTTTAGCGCTGCACAAGGAGACGTACAGCGTGTATAACTATCTTCCATGGCAACACGACACAGATTTGTTGTACTCTGCAGAGATTGAGCTGCTGTGTGACCAGGCGTGGGGCAGCATGCTGGAGATGCCCGCGGGATCCCGGTTTAACGTGACAGGGCTCGGGTACTTCCCCTGCTTCTCCTACAGCGTCACGGAGAACAACAGCTACTACTTCTTTCTCAAGTGAGTCCTTAAGTGACAGATCTTTGATTTTAAATTAAATAAAATGATAACTGAAGATAATATATATAAGCCTTCACAATTACGCAAAAGGTAACAGAGTTAGCAATTAACTTTTGGCCTATTTGGTGACTTTGGTGCATGCAATCTAGATGAAAAGAAGAAACACAGAAAAACAGATTTGAATGAACAATAGAGGGCATTTGAGTAATTATTTTCCAAAACTTTGCTGTAAGACTAGGCCCATGGGTAGATGACATCACAACATTATATAGGCCAATACAATTTAATGCAGGTGGTTTGTAATATGGCGATTTCTTGGGTCTACTAAGTAATAGAAATGATCAGGATTAACATTTGTGAATTTGTCTGATATTTCATGACAAAGTACAATGTAATCAATAGTAATCCCCCCCCCCCCAACTGGAAGTATGACATCATCACATTGAGCCTGTAAAACACCAACAGACAGACCATTTAATGATCCAAAATAAATCTATCTACTATTACTGTTATAGGAGAAAATGTAAATAAAAAAATATATACATGGAATGACTTTAGTTTTTCATAGGATCAGACCATATTTTAATTTCATTAATGTGGAATTGGGCAATGCCACGTGGGTTACACATTATAACATTATAATTAGAGATAGTTAGTAATTAAACAATTATTTTAGTGCTTTTCTGTTTTTCTGCAGTTTTGTCACATCATCCATCGACCTTTCTATGATCTTACTGAATCTAAATGCTAAGTCATCTTTTAGTATTAACTAGCCTATTCCTCCCATTTAGCACAATTTTTAACCAAATCAAACAACACTCATTCATTGAAATAACATTAGAAAAAAAAAGACACTGGCTCTGAATCCACTTGGCTTTTTAGAAACTAGACTTTGGCAGTGAAAGTTTTGTCTCACAGCTCGACTCCAGAGCACATGAGGACAGCCCCATCCCATTGTTTCAGAAGATATTGACATGATTCACTGACAACATTCTTTTCACCCAAACATGAATATTAATACTGTAAATACTTGTACTGCATACAAGTCACTGCACACCTATATCCTAAAAAGTTCCTATAATGTAATTAATTATGATTGATTATTTGGTTATAGGGTTAAAAATAGTGACGATGTAATTAAATAGTGGACTAACTGAGGGCTGGATTAAAGCAAAACTAAACCAGGACTAAGCAGAAACTATGAATGTAGTGTATAAAAAAGGGTCTAACAAGGACTAAACCAAGAAAAAATAGTTACCTTAAACTGAGTCTAAACCTGGACTAAACCAGGACTAAATGTAGGACTTTAACCAGGACCAATATAGAAAAAAATAAAGCAGGACTAAAATGGGTTTAAACAGCATCTTTGCAATTTGGCTACAGTACTGACCAATTTTAGACTGAAAAAGTACTAAACAAAGATTTAACTAAATCTTCAGTCTTCATCAACCAGAACTGAACCAGGACTGAACCAAGACTGAACCAAGATTGAACCAAGACTGAAACAGGACTGAACCAAGAATAAACCAGGACTAAACCAGGATTGAGCCAAGACTAAACAAGGACTGAACCAGGACTGAACCAGGACTATACACAAAGCATACCCAGAATAACTCTAAATCTGGTCCAAATAGGGCCTATATTTAAAGTGCATAAAACAATTACAGTTTGGCTAGTTTTGCATGGCGTTCTGCATGTTACTGGACCCTAATGGTTTACAGATGAGGCGGTGGTTCCCAGAAAAGAAAAAAAATCAGCATATTTAAAGTTTCCCCAAAGGTTGATGTGGAGGTATCAGCCCCAGGAGCAAAAACTCACTTTGAAAATGCCCTGGATTTGAGGCAGAACTAACCCTTGTTTTCTCTCATCTGTCTCATGCAATTAAGGTGTAGAGAGGACATGAACAGGCTGCACTACATTTATGGAAGAAATACAGAAAGCACTGAAACATGAATATAACTGCTGTACAATATGTTAAAGGTGCACTATGTAACTTCTATCTCCATGGAGGCCACACAGATCTATGGAGATGTGTGTTGTGGAAAAAAATTATGTATCTCTTGATGATAAATAATTTATCCATTCGCGAAGCCTGATTCGTTTTTGAAATACAGACAAAGATTTATTCTTGTTAGAGCAGATATGGACTAGCCAGGCTGGCTCCACCTTGTGCCTCTGCTCAATTTCACTCCTCTCCAGCAACTAGGTCAGGAATCAAAATACACTAGACGGTTGGCAAAAGCCTCTGAAGTGCGAGTTTGGGCATCAGCCAATCAGCGAAGAGCCATACATTCTGTGTTGGCAACAATTCCCGAGATCGAGGATTTAAAGCAGGAATAAAGAGAATGTTTGGTGAATTTCATCAAGGGGAAAGACGTTATTGCCCTTCTTCCTACGGAATTTGACGCATTACATACAACCAAATAGCAGCGATTGGTTAAATCGGGATTTGGGAAAAGATTAATATACCATTTAGCCCCGTCAGTGGCGCATTACATAAGTGACTGCCAAATAGAAGCGATTGGTTAAATGATGAAAAGTACCTGCCTACCGTTGAGCAAACAAATTCTAATACTGCGAGGTCAGATGGTTTCTACGAAGTGAAACAGGCTGATGAATCAGGCTAGATATGGACAGGGCCTAAGCCTGCCCTGGCCAGAGACCCTCAGCCTCTCCTCACCAGCAGTATGTCCCTACCACATTTGCCCCGAGTCTCTGTTGTCTGAGTTTTTATACAGAAATACAACTTACTTACATATCAAAGCAGAGTGACTTTTGTTTCAGAGGCTGATTTTAGTCAACTTAACATACATTTGAAAACAGCTAAGACAACGAAGGGCTGAAGGTGGAGACAGTTGTGTCTGATGAGTCTTTACACATGTTAATGACTTGTCTGGCCTCAGGAAATCACATTAATTTACACAAAGACAGATTGAGAGAATTCTTTCCACAGTATAAATTTCCATCACATGTGACTACAGTAAGAATGCATGTTTGCCAAAGGATTTTTAAATGACATAAACAAACAAACAAACAAACAACAACAACAAAACACCTGTAATTGAATACATACAAGTGGCAGAAGTTTAATGCCATACTCTGTGGAACATTACATGTAAAAGCTATATCATCTCCACAGAGACAAGCAAGCAGCTGACGGAAAACCCCAACAGAAAATTTAGACAGAGCATCTTGAAGAGGAAACCACATCTTTACAGATCTGATATACTGCATTATTAAGATTTTTTAACAGATTTTGGACATTGTATGGTATTTCATGTAGTATAAGTTAAAAAAAAAAAGTGGAGTAATTTTTCTATGAAGAAAGTTTATGACGCTATTTTCTGATCTATCCTATAATATTGTTTCCCCATCCCAAACATACCTGGAGTTGTGTTTTGTTTCATTTGGACATGTTCCACTTCTCATGAGGTAATACAGGAAGTGCTCTACTGTGTTTTTTAACTCCATGCACCTTCACTAGAATCAATCTCTATTGAACTTAGGTAAACTTTAGCTGGTAACTTGAAAACTCCCACTCCATGATATCACAAGGTGGAACAGAGCATTTTGAAGTTTGGAAATGTGGACAGACTAATAATAAAGGGTTCCTCAGCTATGTGTGAATGAAACAAAACAACTCTATGTTTTTGATGAGGTAAAAACATTTCAACAAGGTTTAAAGAGTCAGTTTAGCATAATATAGTACCATTAAAAGAAAGGAAAAATACAACAGTGTAACATTTAGTTTATTTCCACAGATATTACTTTACCTTATTCAGCCTATTGTGAAATACCAAAATGTCCAATAGTTTCAAAACCGAATAATGTACTGTTTGAAAAGTGGTCCCCAGTTGAAGTCGTCAGCACTTTTCTGAAACTTTGGGATTGACCATATCCTCCCACGCTCTCGGCTCCTCTCATCACAAACCCTCTGCTATTCCTGGCCTAAATTATGCCACACTTTTTCAGTCTCCAGTTTCAGAACCATGAGATGGCCAAGGTTCATGTTTAAAGTGTGTTGGACAGAAATGATGCAGGAAACGATTGCATTCCACGGCGGGATAATTACAGAGCCAGACGCAGACCACCTTTTGTTTCCCCTCCAGCTCAGACACCAGTGTACGGGTCTATAAAAAGAATGGTGCTGACAGGTCTGCTGCCTGGAGCTGCTATAATGACAGATAAGGATAAAACAATATGGGGAAATAAGTAATGTATATGGTTCTTAGACTTGATTCAATATATATACATTTTAATTTCTACAGGCCATTGCTTTATAGACCCAGGGGCTGAAAGGTCAAATCACTGTCAGTTAGGGATGGGTGTTATTGACAAAAATGAATATCTTAAATTTTTTTTGCCTTATCTTGTTAAGCAATAAGTGCATTTGGAAAATGCTTAGTTGGAGTGATTGTTCAGTGATGCAAAGGTTGGCGGCATAAAACATCATTGGTTGAGCAGTCAGATCCGTTGACCCACAGGTTGGTAGTGCGATTCCAGCTCCCACAGATGAATGCTGTCATTGTGTCCTTGAGCAAGACACTTAACCCATCTCACCCCCAGTGTCTGTGTACACTGGTGTATGAATATGTGTGTGAATGGGTAAGTGATTCCTTCAGTGCTCTGAAGGTGGAAAAGTGCTGTATAAAAATGTGACATTTACAGTTTTTACCAAGTGTTCAAAATGTGAATGCATCACAAAATTAACTAGTCTGATTCATCAGCCGGTTTCACTTTGTGGAAACCTTGCAGTATTAGGATTTGTTTGCTCGACAGTAGGCGGGTACTTTTTTAAAAATTTAACCCATCGCTGCTATTTGGTTGTGACGTACATAATGCACCAAATCCTGTAGGAAGAAGGGTAATACCATCTTTCCCCTTGATAAAATTCACCAAACATTCTCCTTTAAATCCTCGATCTTGGGAATCGTTGCCAACACAGAATGTATGGCTTCGTTTACATTCATCTTGACCACTTTGTTTATTGTTGTGCTGTA